TCATGACCACTATACCTGCCCTGCAAAGAAATGATCAAGAAGTCCTACAAGGTGAGATGAAGGACACTAGACAGTAACTGAAATCATATGGAGAAATAAAAATGTCAATTACGGTAAATACATGAGCAACCACAAAAGCTATTGTTATTAAAACAGTAGTATGTAAATATACTGTTTTCTACAGTATTTAAGAAACCAATTAAAGAAAAAAAACAATTATTAATGTAAATCTAGTATTACTATAGCTTTGGTTAGTAACTCTAAAATCTTGTTTTCTATATAATCAAGGAGACCAATGCCGTTGAAGGAATTACTGGTTTATGTTTTGGGGCACACAATGTGTAAAGATGTAATTCTGTGACATTTACAATTGAAAGGGGTGGGTACAGAACTGTAAAGCAGCACTTTTTGTATGTTACTGAGGTTAAGCTGCTATAAAAGTAAAATGTTATAATTCTGTATGTTAAACGTAATCCCCATGGTAACCACAAAGAAAATAACTATATAATGTACTCCAAAAAAACTACAAATGAATATAAACATTTAATTACAAAAAAACCCACAACACAACTGAACACAAAAAAAAGATAAGAATGCAGGAAATAAAGAAATAAAAACCTATAAGCCATAGGGGAAAAAAAAAAGCACAATGACCAAAGTAAATCCTTTCTTATCAGGACTTTAAATGCAAATGGATTAAACTCTCCAATCAGAAGACAAAGATTAACAGAATGGATAAAAACACATTATCCAACTATGCTGTCTAAAGGGATTAACTTGAGATCCAAAGACAGGTTCAGAGTGATAGAATGTAAAGAGATATTCCATGCAAACAGTCACCAAAAAAGAATAGGAGTGGTTATAGAATAGACAAAGGAGGACACAATATGTTAACTAAGATTCAATAGAGTTAAAAATATAACAATTAAAAATATTTACACAATGACATCCCATCCACATCAAAATATATGAAGCAGAAATGGAGAGAATCACAGGGAGAAATAGACATTCTACAATAACAGAGACTTCAATACTCCACACAGTCATGAATACAACAAGATAGATGATAAATAGGGAAACAGAGGACTTAACACACCATCTAACCCTGACAACTATAAACAGAACACTCCACCCAACAGCAGCAGCACACACAGTCTTCCTAAGTGTACACGTGATATTTTTAGGATAGACCGTATATATTAAGCCACAAATTAGGTCTCAATAGATTTAAAAAATATATATCATACAAAGCATCTTCTCGGACCATAACAGTAACATGAAAAAAAAAAAAAAAAAACAGAAAAACTCACCAACTAGAAATTAGACAACACACTTTTAAAAAACCAATGAATCAAAGAAGAAATAGTAAGGGAAATTAGAAAATAATTAGAGATGAATGAAAAAACACAACATACCAAAACTTACGAAATTTATAAGATACAGCAAAAGTGGTGCTAAGGGGGAAATTTACAGCTATAGATGCTCACATTTAAAAAGAGAGAGAGAGAGGGAAGAGAGAGAGAGACCTTAAAACAACAACATAGAACAACAATGTTGGGGATGCCTGTGTGGCTCAGTAGTTAAGTGTCTGCCTTTGACTCTGTGTGATCCTGGAGTCCTGGGATCAAGTCCCAGATTGGGCTCTCTGCATATGGAGCCTGCTTCTCCCTCTGCCTATGTCTCTGCCTCTCTCTCTGTGTCTCTCATGAATAAATAAATAAAATCTTTAAAAACAACAACAATGTTGGTAAGAATGTGGAGAAACTGGAACCCTTGTGCACTCTTGGGGAAAATATAAAATGGTGTAGCAACTGCAGAAAACAGTATGGAGGCTCCTCCAAAAATTAAAAACAGAATTATCCTATGATCCAGTAATTCCATTTCTGGATATATACCCAAAAGAATTGAAAGCAGGCTAAGAGGTATCTGCATACCCATGGTTCACAACAATATTCACAAAAACCTAAAATATGGAAGCAACCTAAGTGCCCATTTACCACTGAATGGTAAGTAAAATGTGGTGTACACACACAGAAACACCACACAAACACACACACGGAGGGATATTATTCAGCTTCAAAAAAGAAAGAGAGAGATTCTGCAACGTGCAATATAACATGGGATGAGCCTGGAAGACATTGTGCTACATGAAACAAGCCAGGCACAAAAGACAAACACTGTATGCTTTCACTTACATAAGGTACCTGGTCAAAATCATAGAGACAGAAAGGAGAATGGTGGTGGCCAGGGGCTGGAAGCAGGGGAGAATGTGGAGCTAGTGTTTAATAGGTAGAGGGTTTCAAAGTTACAAGATGAAAGGAATTAGGGGATGGACGGAGGTGAGAGCTGCACGACAATGTGAATGAACTTAATACCTCTGAATTGTGCCCTTAAAAATGGCTAAGTTAGTACATTTTGTATTATGTGAATTTTAACTCCATAAAAAAAGGAAAAGGGGAAAAATAAATAAAAGAGTAAAAAGAATCTAAATCTTTTTTTAAAAAAAGATTTATTTATTTATTCATGAGAGACAGAGACATAGGCAGAAGGAGAAACAGGCTTCCCACAGGGAGCCCAATGTGGGACTCAATCTCAGGACTCCAGGATCACACCTTGAGTGGAAGGGAGACACTCAACCACAGAGCCACAAGGCGTCCCAAAAGAATCTAAATCTTAAGATTAAACCTTCTTAGGTTATAATAAACATATAAATTACTCAATTATGTTTATAGAAAAGAAACATAGTAAAGCTAACAACAACAACTTAACCTATCCATAACTTACATATATTTACTGATTTACCTATGGGTGGTATTCAGGTAAAATTCAATTAGCTTGGACAATTTAGCTTGGAGAAAAAAAATTAAGTATAGAATATGTTTATATAATACTCTACAATTTCAACTCTGTATAAATTATTACGAATGCTAAAAAGCAAATGATATTAATATGAAATGAGTTAAGAAAAAATGTATTATAAAGTAACATAAATTCCCTGTTTAAAAACAAAAACCTCAAATAGTATCTCCTGGCTCCCTATGCCCACAATCTACAGGTAACCACTATTAACCATTTCTTGTATATCCTGGTATCAAGGTTTATGTATACATGTGTGCAGATGCACGTCTCCTACTCCAATATGTACGGACAGGGTAGGGGAGGCAAAACCAGTAATGCCGTACCTTTTAATGGGAGTATCCTATCACTGACATTGTTTGGAATTGCTCACACATGGTGATGATAAAAGAAGCTAGACTTGTAATCATGTTTTTACTGATTGTAACTTCTCTACAGAAAACACCCACAGCTACCCTCCCTACACTGCTCTACCTCTCCTCCTAAGTCAGCCTGCTGTTAATTTATCTCTGCTACAGATGATGCTTCTGCAAACACTCTTGTCACATCAGGCAAGCCTATCTTCAGGACAGATTGCAGAAAAAACCTTGTTGTAAAAAGTATGAGTTTTAGAGGGGCGCCTGGGTGGCTCAGTCAGTTGGGCATCTGGGTCTTGATCTTGGCTCAGGTCATGATCTTGGGTCATGGGACTGAGCCCTTCACTGGGCTCCAAACTCAGTGCAGAGTCTACCTGAGATTCTCTCTCCTTCTCCTTCTGCCCTCCCCTACCACACTCATATGCACTCTCTCTCTCTAAATAACTAAAAATCTTAAAGCAAAAAAAAAAAAAAAGGTATGAGATTTAGAAAAAAAATTTTAGAAATGTAAATCTACTTTTATTTTATTTGGAGACTTTAAATGTTCAAATAGGTATTCCAAATCATCCTCTGAAGCAAACTGTATATATTCCTATTAACTGTATATAAAAATGGTCAATGTCCTCACTCTTGCCAATGTAATTCTGTAACGTTCTTTTTAATACTTCCTTCATTTCTTTCTTTGGCTCTGTGGGCAGCATTTTCTTTTTATTTCTGATAATTTAGTGTGTTAAGAGTCTGCTTTTCCCTCCTCTGGTGGTTATCACTATCATTTTTTTAAACACTTAAGCATTTATTTGTTGGTTTATCAACTTTAAATAATATCTATTCTCTGTGATTCCCACTATCACATCATCTGATTTCTTATTTCACCTTACCAATCTTTTCTCTTGTTGTATATAGATGTAGGTATAACCATACTGATGGTCTTTTTGTTAATTTTACTAGGTGCCAGGAAGGGGAATAGAGCTTAAGGCCTTTATTTTGCACCATTTACTAGATCTCTCTAAGAATATACACAATGTGGGAGCAACCACCATCAGTAGGTAGGAAGAAGAGAGAAATCAAAAAGGGCTGTGCTACAGAAGGAGTATTCTAGCAGTGGTAAACAGGACAGAGCCTAGAATGCAAAGATTCATTATTATGAAAGATTAGGGGAGATTCAATATTACAAATATGTCTATTTCCCTTCAATTTAATCTGTAAAATAAAAACTTATCCCTAAGTCATGATGATGATGATATAATAATAATGGTAATACTCACTCTGACACTAGGTTAAGCCCTTTATATGTATCTCATTCAAGAGCAAAAACAATCTTGCAAGGTAATATTGTTACCCCCATGTTACATGATTTACATGAAGATTTACAGGAAGAAAAGTAATCTCCCTGAAGTTATAACATATAGTAAGTAAAAGGGCTAATAAGGCTTTCTTTCTAACAGGATGGTAATGGTATGGGAGTTGAGAAAAAATGATCCCATACAAGAAAACTGAAGGCATGATTCTGTTTAGTACCTTAGTACAGAAGTCCTTTCCCCAAGGACTTGCCTACAAGTTCAAGAACTAAAGGAAGATGACACTGTATCTTTCATTCTTCCTTTTATTTCCCAAACCACTGCAAGAAGAAAGGACCTCCTGATCATACCGGGGTGTCAGAACCCTGAGGGCATTTCTAAGGCTGCCAATTTAGAGAAGAAGAAAGAGAAACAAATGAGAGGGTGGTGAGAAAGAAAAGGAGAGGGAGTTGGGAGTATGTACTGAAGAAAGAATTTGGGGAAACAGGAACCAGTCAGCAATCTCACAAACTGCAGAGGTTAGGGGGTGCTGAGGGCTAAAACCAGTTACTGAACAGTGATGACTGGCAGGCTGCTGAATAACTCGGGAAGACCAGTCTGACAGATGGACAGGACTAAGATTCAGACTATGGCTGTTAGAAAAAGGAAACATCTAGTGTGGACCACTGTCAGGGGAGGTCTGGCAGAGAAATGAGGACTACCGTCTTTCCAAGGGTCATGGGAGAGGTAAGCTGATTATTTGTATTTTAAGATGTGGGAGGGGCTCCTGGGTGGCTCAGTCCATTAAGCATCAGAGTCTTGGTTTCAGCTCAGGTCATGATCTGAGATCAAGCCCTGGGTCAGGCTCCATGCACAGCCAGGGAGGAAGATTCTTTCCCTCTGCCCCTCCCCTTCCTGCATGCATGCTCCTCCTGCCTTTTCTCTCTCAAATAAATAAATAAATAAATATTAAAAAAAAAAAAGATGGGAGATATCCTAGCAACTTGGCAGACATAGAGAAAGAAGTTAACAGAAAGGAAGAGATTGATGATATATTAAGAAAGAATAACTGATGAAGCAATCCCTGTGATAGTTTGGATATTATCTTACATTTGCATATTGCTTTACAATTTGCAGAGTCCTTTCACACCACAAGTCTCCCATATTCCTTACATAATTCTATGAGCCAGGTAGAGCATGAACTATCACTTAATTTTACTCGAGGAAACTGAGGCCCAGACAGGTTTGTGGGAATCCAAGGCAGTGTAGGAGAAAGAGCCCTGAAGTTAAGATCTTGGATCTCTCTTTCACTGATTCTGTGCTTTGGGCAAGTTACTTGGCTTTCAGGGGCCTCAATCTCCTAACCAAGGAAATGAGGATAATACTTCCCAGGCTCCTCCAACACTCAGACAATGCCTGCCAAGGTGCTGGCAAGGTGCCTGCAGAAAAGTAGGCACTGCAGAAGCTACAGCCACACTTTGGCAAGGAGACTGAGGCAATGCAGTGAACATTCATTAATATCGAGTGCCCGATAACTCAAGATAGTCAGGCACCGTGACCATAAAACATCACTGCAAGTGACAAGGGGCATCAGGGGAACGTACAAGCGGCTTAAGAACAAAGACGAGACTATGGTTAACTGTGCGCACCAAAGGGTTAAGGATAAACATGTAAGGATCGCAGAGAAGTTCAAGACAGAGGTGGCCTCTGGGGTGGATGTTGAAAGAGGAGTTCCCTGGTGGAGGGGGAAGTGCATTCTAGGAGGAGAAACAGCACCCGCAAAGGCTCACGGGCATTCCAGCAAACAGGGCACACAAGCTCGATCAAGCCAAGATCCCCTTGGAGCTGACTCAGCCACCTCAGACAGCAAGAAGAGAGCTCATAGCACCTGCACGCTGCTCCACACCCTCTGTGACTCCCACAGGTGGGAGGCAATTCCCTCCCAAAGAACAGCCAGAAGGGGAAAAAGTCTAGCGAAGCTGCAAGAGAAATGAAGAGGTAAAGGGACTTCCAGCAGCTATAAGTCAGACCTGAGGCACCTCGAGGCACATCCCTACAAAATATCAATCCCCCAACAGTGTGGGCCCCTACCTTTCATGCTCTCAGCTGACACCTGCAACACGGTGTGAAATCACACGTAGGATGTGGCAGTGGCCACAGGTCACTGAGGCACTCGAGGATGCCATGCCAGTGTTCATCCAAGTCACAGCTGGCAGCCACAGCACGGGAGCTACTGGTGTGCCTGTGAATACCTGCTCACAGCATCTCCGTCTGCAAAATCCCTCCTCTGTCATCTAAAGAGTCCCAGAATGGCAGAAAAGTGCTACAAGCAGCATGGAAAACCTTATGGCCCTCAGAGCCACAACCCAGTAGAAACAGAGTAAAACCGAAGTGCACTTTGAGGATCTGGTTTCATTGCCCATCCCTTTCATCACCCTAAACTCTTTTATAGTTTTACAAGAGAGTTTTACTACTATTTACAGTTAAAGATGTTCCACTGGTTTGAATCCAGAAATAAGATATGTCTGGAATCCTGTTATTCTTCTCCCTCAGAAAGAAATAGGAAGGAAATTACTGTTATCTACCCTGGCTGCTAAGTGAAGCTCAACAAATGAATGCTCTGTTATTCGTTCTGTTTAAAAATATGCTTACCTATGGGTTTACAAATTCGCAATTTTCAAAGAACTAGAACTTACTGTGATCGGCATGGTAAAATAGTAAAAAATAAAAAAAATTAGGTCTTTCCAATTAGGAGCCATAGAATTTAGCAATGTTTCAAAATCCCCATCAGAGACACTGATTATCACTGCAACAAGTACAAAAAGATTAGTCAGAGATTCTCAACTGAAGAATTCTTTGTTGTAATTTGAGGTCTTTAAATGTATCATTGCACTTATGAAGCACAATCTATGAGTCAGACTTATATTTCAACCTCTGATGCAGCTGGGATTAAAGAGAGAACTTGGACATTATTTCTAAACGCATCTTGGCAGTGAACTTCATGAAAACATAGAGACACCATTAAATAGATTCAGTGAATCCAGGTTGAAACTGCAGGTAAACATAGGCTTCAGTCCTCCCCTGTGCTAGTCAGGAGGATAAGGTGGGTGTGAGAGAAGCTTTGCACCAAATGGCAAACCTTGGGGAGGCTCAGGGCGGCAGAAGCCAGCTAGCCTGCCAGAGGGACATGTGGACTGGGGGAAACACACGCTGAACAGGAGCAGAGTAGGTGACAATGCTGTCAGGCAAACTATTTCTAACTTGATCAAGAGAAAATGAAATAAGAATGTTTTTGGCATTAGGGATGACTGTCTCAGCTAGATTTTAAGGTGATGGGATTTTAAAATGTTTAGTCTTGAAAGCCATAGGGAGAACTACTGTTTCATTGAGTTAAACAAAGGGAAGGTAGTAAAAGAAGTGAACATACTAAAATTGGTTTACCTTTCAGGTAACTGGATTGTACTGAAAAAAAAAAAAAAAAAAAAGATCATTCGCCCTCTCTGGTTTATAAAGAATCAGCCATTGCCAGTTTGGTTGTTTCTATCTTGCCTTCTGAGGCTAACGGCAAGAAAAGTTCTGCAGCCAAACTTCCTGGTAATCAGAGAACAACGTTCCTCAATGGTGCCAATTAACTATACCTAGTTCACTGGAAACTGTACTCAACATAAATCAAAACTAAAGTTAATAAGTGAAGAAACAAAGTACAATTTTATCATGACCCCAGCGAAGTGGGAAAGTGAAGCAGCATGCCTGATGTAAAAAAGGATGATCACATTACCTGCTGGGGTACCAATCTGGATATTATGCCCCCTCCCCATCAAAGAGGCTGAAGCTAAATTTAAGGATGGCAGTGAGACCTCTACTCATAAGTCTCTCATTCGGATCCCTAAATTATATCAACATATAAAATTAGTCACACCAAAAATGCAGTAGTAAGACAAAATACCCAAAAATAGTGGGGGATGTATAGCACCCAGACTGTAGGAAGCAGCAAAATGACACCACAAGAAAGTAATCACATAGATCCAGAAGTTTAAGAAACCTGTAGGGAAAGTAACCTGGTGTCTATAGCCAGTTAGTAACATGAAGAAGGTGGGAGGTGAGGCGGGGGCAGGAGGGGCGCAGATGTGCTCTAGAGTAAGAATCAGGAGACAAACCAAAGGAAATGTGCAGGCCTTGTCTGGTTCCAACAAACTGCCTGGGAGAAGACGGACCTGACACTATCAAGGACATAGGAATACAGACTGAGTACCAGATGATGCCAATGGGCCGCTGTGAACCTTCCTGTATTGTGCTGGGACTGCTGTAAGAAAATACCCATATTCCTGACAGAGCCGTAATAAAATGTCAAAGTGAAAGGACATGAGGTCTAGGGCCTGCTTTAGTCACAAGAAGGAAGAAAAAAGAAAAGAAAAGATAGAAATGAAGCAAATCCAGCACAGTTTTAATAGTTACTCAATCTGGAAGATAAATATATGCAGGTAATCTACATTATTCTTTTTATCTTCACTTATTTTGAAAGTTTTCATAATAAAGCATCCTTATTTTAAACACTGACAGCACCCAGCTCACTGCACATACACTAGCCAATAAACCATACAACTTCACACATCAAATAAGTCTTTATTATCTTGAACACCAGTGTCAGCTGTCCATGAAAATCCAGGGTTTTCTAAAGAGTTTAAAACATAAAACATTCCTATCTCATTATGTGAATGCTCTTGAACTTTTTTTTTGAGGATATACCTTAGCAAGGAACAAGTGATACTGAATTCTCCTTCCCAATAATACCCTTATATAAAACTGCATCAAAATTAATGAAGCATGATTCACTGAAACTCACTATTGGCAGAAAAGAAAAAATTCGCTGAGCATTAAAAATCAAAATCAAACACCAAGGACACATTAAACAACTTTAAAATGATTACCTCTATAGGGTACAAAGCAAAGCGGAATGCCATGAGCAGGGATGGGGGTGACACCAAAATTTCTCACTGAGTACTTTTTAATGTTGTTCTGACTTTTGGATTCACACAAATGGACTGCCTAATCAAAAATCACATTTCATTTTAAACAAAACAACTGAATATATACTTTTCATGATTTAAAAAATTACTTCTCCTCTTCCATGCGGACTCCAACTGTGGACACTAAAACTTGAAAAAAAAATTAAGATTTTTCTGTGCTCTTTAAGATGTCTATCGATCACTCATGCCACTATCTCCCAGGATTGACTTTTGGTGGTTTTAAAACACATTTGTTTCTTATCTTACTTCTAAGAGGTTCTTTCCTTCTTTAGGCGAACATTTAAGAAACTTAAAATGCATCTGAACATAAAAGAAAAAAAAAAAAAAGGGTCCCTGGGGTTAACTTGAAGAAAAACTCAAATCAAGGAAAGCCCCTTCTATTTTTTGTTTCGTGTCAAACCACATATTTAAGTCTTTACTTGAAAACAGAGGAATTTAACAAGGATTTAGCAGTCTTCACTTTGCTCCCTTCTTCTAACCTCAAACCCAAACTATTATATTTTCATTTTCTTTTGTCATCCATTACCTGTGCTTCTCGGCCAACTCTTGTCAATCAAGATTATTGAAACCTCAAACCAAAATGCAGTCATTTGCCTTTTAAGCACCTTAAAACAGATGTTTAAAACCCTCACTTCTTACAGTCTCCTCTGAAGCATTTATGTATCCCTTTTCTTGGTGTTTTTACTGAGTTAATAGCCTAACAAATGACCTAGTATTGAAACCTGAAGTAAATTAACTAAAGCCCCTGGTGTAACCAGGCAGGTTACATTGTGTTCCTGGAATAGCTGGTGATTCCTTAACTCTAAGAACCAACAAAAGCCTGGTAAAAACCTTTGTCAACAAAAGAGTATTATGAAGGCCTCCCGAGGGTCACCCTGCTTTCAATAAATCTGACAGATGAAAACAGCCATTCACCAAAATATGATATCCTCTTTAAAAAGAGAGAGAGAGAGAGAGAGAGAGAGAGAGAGAGAGAGAGAATCACTGGATTGTTTTTAATAAGGTTTTCAATTACTGGTTTATTTTTTTCCCCTTGTTCTTTTTTTTTAATAATAAATTTATGTTTTATTGGTGTTCAATTTGCCAACATACAGAATAACACCCAGTGCTCATCCCGTCAAGTGCCTACCTCAGTGCCCGCCACCCAGTCACCCCCATCCCTAGCCCTCCTCCCCTTCCACCACCCCCAGTTCGTTTCCCCAATTACTGGTTTAGATACAGTCTTGAATAGTGGCTATCAACCAATATGCATTTACTGAGTCCAGAGTGTGTATTCCACAATTTACTGCAAATAGAAGAAACAAGTCACACTTTTTTCTTAAGAGCTTTATTAAGGTCTGGTTGATGAGACATGTCTAACACATAAGACCAACAGAATCCATTGTTAAAGATCAAGTGTGCCACATGTGGCTGTAAGCACAGTGGTGGCAGGAACTACAGTGGCTGTAGCAGACCTGGATGTCTGGTGGACTCCTGGCAAAATTTCTCAGGTAGGACAGCAAAAAAAGGCAAGGTGAACACTAGTAGCCACCAGACAGGCTCTGCCTGAGACAGAAAGGGATCTGACTTGGGACAGAGAGCCTAGTCCAGCTGAGGAAAGCTGTAAAGGAAGAGGCATGGTAGAAAAAAAAAAAAAAAAAACAGAAGGATAGGTCATACCCAACAAATAACTGTGGGTGTGCATCCATTTGTTGTTAAAGAAAAGCGGGCTATGACCAGATCCTAGAAACCATGAATGACGGACGGCTCCAATTCTATTTTGAAAGCCGTAGTTATCCCATGACCTTGAAGAGAAAAAGGACCAGAAACGAGCTGTCCTGCCAGCCAAGCACAGTCCTCCTCCCCGCTGGACACAGTATTGCTCTGGGAAGCACAGGCAAGGCGGACCTCTCTGGCCATGTTCTTTCTCCATCATTAAAAGCTTCTCTGATAAGCATTCTACAACTAACTCAATACATTCATCATACTTTAGATAAGTGTTAGAGAAAGCTTCAGGGAGAAGTGACCACTCCTTCAAAAGCTTTTAATTTTTTTTTTAAATTTATGACAGTCACACAGAGAGAGAGAGAGAGGCAGAGACACAGGCAGAGGGAGAAGCAGGCTCCATGGACTGTGAGCCCGACGTGGGACTTGATCCCGGGTCCCCAGGATCGCGCCCTGGGCCAAAGGCAGGCGCTAAACCACTGCGCCACCCAGGGATCCCAAAAGATTTTAGAGAACACTTAAAAAGCATCTCTTAGAGTAGATCATCTTCTAGAACAGTATCCAGAGAAGTCCAGTTCCATATAATAATATTATTTCACTAATAACTCATTTAGTCCTGACTATGAAGGAGGGACTATTATAACCCCCATTTTATAGATACCCTTGCTGAGAAGCTTCAGAGAGGACAAGTAACTTTCCAAAGATGGTGTATAGCTCATTAGTGGTTGAGCCAGGGCTCCCCCTCAGGCCCCCCAGACCTTGGAGAACATGCTCCAGATCACACTGCCACCCTACCTCGGGTGTTCCCACTCTTTCCATTGGCCTGTGTGGACAGCAAGACCCTGTCTCTGTGGCTTGTGCACAGGGGACAGAACTCAGTGATCTCTAAGTACCAACTCCAGAGTCAGTCAGCAACATGAAGATTTTGCAATCTTTGCAATATTGAACTTTGGTCGAAATGGAGAAGAGAAAGTCACTATCCTTTAATCAATGTCTTTTATTTAAGATTACTCCCAAACTTCTCAGGGATCCCATACTCCTAATTAATGCATATACTTTACAATTGAGTATAGCTTTCCAAGTCTTCAAATATTCATATATAATTTTCACAGAACTACCGTTTGGGCATCCTACACTTTCAAAATAAGACTAAATGACAAGAATATCACTTAAATACAAGGCTAAGACATTCATTAAAATAATACGGGGTGGGTGACATAAAACAGAGGAATACCACATAAAAATCACAGTAGCAAAAATCAGAAAGAAACAAATTCATCTATTTTAGATTACTTTCCAATGTCAAAAATTTTTAAAACCCTTTTTTGATATGGAAGGCATTCATAAAATTTTAGTGTTCCCTTATGCTACATCTTGGTTGGCCAAGCAACCAAGTCAAATCTTGCTTTGAAAAAGTTTGAAGAGAGAAATCATTTGTTTTATGTAATGATAGGGAGCAAAGTCTGGGGTTTTGCAGTCATCAAACACATTTGTGAAGTAATTACATTAACCTATCATACATTTTAAGCACTCACTGTTTATTGTAATCAAATGATTTACAGATTTTGAGTAATGGTTTGTGTGCTTCCATAGAAAAGGTGGCTCATGCTGAATTTGGGATATATGTATAAAAAACAGCTGAAAAAGTATCAGGAGACAATATGCTTTGTAAGATTAGTCTAAGGAACAGAGATGTCACAGAGAAGCCAAAGAGGAAAATGAATGAATATTAAGTGGGTAAACTCTTCAAGACACTGATCTCAGGGCACCTCTCCTCCTACCACTGCAGAAAAGAACACCAAAAGTTACTGCTTTCTGCTTTTATAACAAATATCAAAAAAAAATCATTAAAATAAACAAAAAGCCTAATTTCAGTGACGTATTTACTACCCTTTACTTCATGTTTAAATAATGCATAGTAACAAAAAGATTTCAAAGTTAAATACCAATCAAATAAGCATATTATCATGATATATGCCAACATGCTTTATGAAGAAAAAGGCACAAAGCTTTTATTTTCTTCTATTACCTAAATCAATCTAACTCTGGGGTAAAGCTGAGGATCTCAAAAAGGAACTATAAGAGAAAAAATGTTAAAGATCTGTTGAAGTGTAGAATTGGAAGTTTTTTTTTTTTATTTCTATTGCATATGTATAGTTGCTTGGGACATAAACATTTCTAAATTTATTCACTTTGAACAGGCCTCCATATTTCTTAGGTTTACATGCAAATATAAAAATGACAGAACTAGAGGATATTTCAGGAAAAAAGCATTCCTACTAGTTTGCCCATAATAGAATAAACACATGAGAATATGGAAACCAAAGGAGAACTTACATCAAGTTAACTGTCCTAAATCCTTATTTCACATATATCCTTCCAGATGTGCCAAGAAAGTGCCCACAATATATTCAAACAAAAATGAGGAAACATAAGAAAAATCACACAGCCCCATCCCAAGCACTACTTTATTCCTCTATTGGTTCAACATATATTTGCTGAGCATCCATCCTGGGCCAGAAATGAGAGAAAATCAGGGTTCTAGTAGAGTCTCAGCCCCCAAAATGCTCATTGTAGTAAAAGAACCTGGAAGCTACACACAGGAAGAAGCCAGATTCCAGACCCCACAGGGAGATATTTAAAAGTTTTAAACAAGGAAATGATATGAGCCACAGAACAGGCTGCGGGGGTATGAGGAGGGGATAGAGCATGATCCTATGCACGATTTTAATCCAGATAAAAAACATGTGGGCAAATGCTGACCATGCCAGCACGAGGCCTGGACTTGAGAACATACAGGCTTAAAATGCAGGCAACTGAGTGAGTAGACTAGTTGCATACTTAATGTACAAGGTGCTCAATAAAGATTAGTTTTCTTCATTCTCATATATGAAGATTTCTCCAAAAAAACCTTACCTTTCTGCACGAATCACACCACTGTAGTAAGGGGGATCCCAAGGCATTAATTCCTACAATGGAAAAATTCGTTGCTATGAAAGTTATTGACTATGCCACAGTTTTTACCAACAAGTTAGACAGCTTATAAAATGTAAACCTGTTATCAGAAAAGTTTTATAAAAACCCTGAATATTCATGAAATACCTCTTTATTTTGACTTCCCCATAATCAAGGAGTACAAGGTATAAATGAAACATAATCCCAGAATTTGGGGAAAAGGTAAATAATGTAAAAAGTAAACATAAAAGTCAACATTAATAGATTAAAATAGTCATGTCAAAATTTTTCCCAAAATGCAACCCACATATCAATCCATAAAACATACTGCAGGTAAGATTAGGGTTCTAAAGATAAGATTAAAGTTCTTTCTAAATCTAAGCAGGCAGCTTAGGGTAGATTGCCAAAGTGAAAGCAACAATTTCAAGTGTAATGAAGGGAGAATTACCTCTAATCTTGACAAAGAAAATATGTCATAAAGAAGCACTGTCACAAAAAAGAAAAGAAAAGAAAAAAAGAAAAAGAAGAAGAAGGAGCACTGTCACAGAAGTTGGTTTTGACAACTGGTACAGAATACTGAAGGGAAGAAAAGCTTGAATACCTGAAAGATCCTCCTCCCCACAAATTGTCCAGGTGACAGGAGTGACTAAAAGCCCAGGCTATGTAGTCAGAATGCCTGGGCTCAAGCTTTCAATCCACACTACGGTAGGACATGGAAAAAGTATTTCTGCTCATCAATGCTTTCCTGTTTTCCTTCTATACCACCTGATCTCACCCTTCTGTACTCCAAGCCCATCTCCTGCCACTTCCACCCTCCCGAGCTCCAGTCTGGCCAAACTGGTTCCCTCCCTATTCCTTGACTACAAGGGGCAGGTGCGCTCTCTGCGGAGAAAGCTCTGCCCCGAGTTACTCTGTGGGGCACTACTTCATCTCTTCCAAGTCTCTGCTCAAGTGTCTTTTTTTTTTTTTTAAGATTTTATTTATTCATGAGAGACACACAGAGAGAGAGAGAGAGAGGCCAAGACAAAGGCAGAGAAAGAAGCAGGCTCCATGCAGGGAGCCCAATGTGGGACCCAATCCAGGGACTCCAGGACCATGCCCTGGACCCAGGGCAGGCACCAAACCGCTGAGACATCCAGGGATCCCTCTGCTCAAGTGTCTTGAGAAGTCTTCCCTGACCAATCCCTACAGAACAGCAACCTCCATCCTCGTTGCTCTGCATTATTTTCCTCTGTTGCCCTTATCACCATATAACATGGCACGTATTTCTTTCTTTCATGTACTTACTATCTCCTTTCCTCCCCTAGAATGTAAGCTTCTTGAAGACAGGGACTTTGTTCGCATTTTTCCTATTATATCCTCAGCTTGAATACTGCCTGGTACACAGTAGTGCCTCAATAGTTATTTGCTGAACGTATCAACAGCATCTCCCAAATACCATTTCTTAATGCACTTGGACTATTAAACAGAATACCTGGCATTGAGTAAAAACTCCATGAATGTTGGCTTCTTTTATCCTTTGATTTATCCTTTAAATTTTCAGGTCAGACATCATGTCCTCAAATAACAAGGTGTTCTTTTTTATATTTTATTCCATGACCATGGAATGTAGCCAATGTAAGATACTTCTAGGCTTACTATCCTTCTCCCAGCATCCCTGGAACTATGGCCCCCAACCCCCAAGTGTTCAGTTCCTGGGACACATTTCCTCCAACAGATGATCATTTCAACCTGCTACATACCAGAGAGTGCAGGCTCTAGGGAAATAAAACCCATTAAGACCTGATCCCTGTACCAAGGAGCCGGTAATGGTCTAGACTCCACAATCAGAGTACAGTAGGTTATGCCTGTGATGTTGTACCATGTGAAACAGAGCCCATGAGAAGGGCACTGGAGGAGATAAAGCCTGAGCTGAGTTTTGAAGACCAGGCACACTGAATCCAGATGAGAAAGAGGGAAAGGCATTCCTGTGTACAGAGTTTGTAAATGACTGCATGCTACCTACCACAGTCGTGGGCACATAAATACCAGTCAGAATTTTAAAACAAAAGAAAGAAAAGCAAGGACAAGCAAAGAAGCAAAGTGGTAAGTAGTTTTTAAGAAGCACAAGAGCATCACACAGGCATTACTTAGTAGGGAACAAGAGACACGGCTTAAAGGGGCAGCAGAAGACAAGGCTGGAGAAACAGGTAGAAACAAAATGTGGAAAGGCTTGGTGGGAAAGCTAAGAAACAGGAAAGTAAATCTGAGAATTAACGCAAGCCACTGAAATATCTTTAAAAAGTGGCAAAATCTTGGGGGATCCTTGGGTGGCTCAGCAGTTTAGCACCTGCCTTTGGCCCAGGGCGTGATCCTGGAGTCCCGGGATCGAGTCCCACATCGGGCTCCCTGCATGGAGCCTGCTTCTCCCTCTATCTGTGTCTCTGCCTCTGTGTGTGTGTGTGTGTGTGTCCCTCATGAATGAATAATTAAAATCTTTAAAAAAAAAAAGTGACAAGATCTGATCTGCCTTTTGGCAAAATCCCTCTGGTGACAAGTCATTCATTCATTCATTCATTCATTCATTCATTCCTATTTCAATTAAGTGCTAAGTACCTACCCTATGTCTAACCCTGAACTAGGCACATTGCTAAGTAGTCCAAATCAGGAGCCAGAACAAAAGGCTTGAAAATCAGTTTGGCAACTACAATGATAATCTGGGTGAGAAGTAACAATGACCTCAACCGGCACCGCGGCAATGGGCATGGAGAGGCAAGAACACAGAGCTCTCAGGAAGGAAGAATATATAGGATTTAGTAACTGATGGGAGGGTGGGGGATAAATAACATGAAGGGCTTGTCAAAACAAGGATTATAAGGCTAGAGATGCAATGGGTCTCATGTAGGGCTCAAGAATCTCTATTTCTAACAAGTTCCAGTTGATGCTACAGCTTCTGGTACAGAAAACACACTTTGTGAATCACTGGCCTAGAGTGAGTGCAGGTTCTGGCTATGGTAGCAAGGTGAAAATAGGGAATTCAGGAGAAAATGAGGGATTTCACAAATATCTGCAAAATAACCTGTATCGATAAGGTATACAAAATGTCTAGAGAGGATAGCTCCAATATTAGCTTTTAATGAATTAGCTTTTGACAACATACCTTATCTTTTCTGTTTCTATGTTCACCAAAATAAATTCTAATCTGTATCTAGTTTCCTAAGTGGACCTACCTACCATGCCAAAATATGCAGATGATTAATCCTACTTTGCTAGACAGCTCCTACCATAAATTAACAAGTTGACATGCTATTCCAGAAATTGGTGAATTTGATAAGATTAATCTATTTCTTAGTAGCTATATCTGAGAAATTGGTAAATAATTTCTAAATCTGCAAGGCTCATTTCCCCTAAATGTTCTCTATGATTTTGGCCCTGGCAGCAGCACCAAATCAAGAATTGCCAACAATGGCACCTGCAGGAAAATGATACAACCAGCAACCCTGCTGTGTCCTTGAACCAAGTGAGAATCAGGGTCCTCGTACCTGGAATCCCATCACTTTTCAGGGCATGGCATCACTTGGGCAGCTTCTGGACATAAGGACATTTAAGCCTGTACAGTAAGACCAAGTGACAATTTAACCTTATGATTAAAAACAACACTTAAGTGTGTTAAGTTGGGGTATACTTTGAAGTCAATATCGATCTATTTAGTTGAGCTCCATAAATTAGCAAATAAAAAAGTAAACTGCAATGTTAACATTGATGGTTAAATTGCCACGTGCCAGATCAATCCTCCACTGAGCTTCCTCAAAGGCTGCTTCAAACTAAGAAGGCCACTTTCGGTAGAATGGAAGCAGCCTTCGTGTGACTGTATATTAACATATGTTGTTAATATACATTTATAGGTGTGTATATGTGTATGAGCATATATGTGGATTAATGTCAACTAACCAACAAAAATACTGGATTTCCTGAAAATGTCAAACTCAGACATATGGATCAAGTATTTCAATGCTTTATTCACCAAACCCAAGATTCAGAACCAAGACCAAGGATCAGAAACAAGAATATACACACCTTTAATATATCACAAGAGTTCTAGAGTCAAAAGATAAGGACTTCAGCTGATAGACTGTTTAAATTATAATCAAAATATTCCAAAATTGTCACTTACAGAATTTTGAGGATTTAGTTTCATTTTCATCCTTCGTATCATCTCAAAGTCTTTTATAGTTCTGTAAAATAGGTTTATCATTCATTGTTAGTATAAAATTTTAATAATTACATTATTAAAGAACTAGTTCTCTGGGGAAATACGGTAACTGGGTGATGGGCATTAAGGAGGGTACTTGATGTAATGAGCAGGGAGTGTTATATACAACTGATGAATCGCTAAACTCTACCTCTGAAACTAGTAATACACTATATGTTACTTCATTGAATTTAAATAAAATAAAAAATTTTTTTAAAAAGAACTAGTTGGGGATCCCTGGGTGGCGCAGCGGTTTAGCGCCTGCCTTTAGCCCAGGGCGCGATCCTGGAGACCCGGGATCGAATCCCACGTCGGGCTCCCGGTGCATGGAGCCTGCTTCTCCCTCTGCCTGTGTCTCTGCCTCTCTCTCTCTTTCTCTCTCTCTCTCTGTGTGACTATCATAAAGAAATAAAAATTTAAAAAAAATAAAAATAAAAAAAATAAAAAGAACTAGTTTTCTTATGTAACTTTCCCCAGTATTCATAATAAAATTAGAAGTAATTTGTAATGCAAATGTAAAGCAGTATTAGTCTAAATTTTACCTGTGTTAGAAGGGGCAGCAATATATCATCAGTAAATTATCACAATTTGTCTTTGAAAACATCCTAGCAGATAGATATAGGACTTGAAAGCATTAAAGCTTGGAAAAATTAGCAATGTTACAGATACATGTAAAGGTTACAACCAGCAAACTTTAAATCACCGCTCTTTGCTATACATTAAAAAGGTAAGAGAATAACAAATTACGTTTTTAAAAAAATATAGAGATTATATAAAATATATAATTATATACAAAATATAAAGAGAGGTTACTATACATAATTTTTCTCCTACAGAAAACCTCTAGCTGGGCAAAAGTGATGTGCTTAATGTCAACAGAATGTGAATTTTTTTGTTAGAATTAACTCCCATATATACCTGTAAAAATATGATGACATGCTTGCTCAAAATCTATTGTTACACAGGGAAGAAAGAATACTAACACTTAACTAATAAAAAAAAGTAAATTCTCAGCTAACCACATAATTAACACTGCCTCTTCATTAAATCAAAGCTACAATGGTTCACCAAATTAAAAGAAAAGCTTAGAGTGTATAGATATAATCCAAATTAGAGAGGATTGGGTTCTAAGGCATGAGTTTATAATAAAAGAAAATGGAAATCTGAGCTAAAATTTAACATGCTAGTATAGTCAAAAAGGCAAATGAAATTTTAGACAGCTTTATGAGACAACCATGACATGCCTCTTCCTGGAATCCTAGGTATCTGAAGGCTACTGGAGTGTGGCCTCTCAGCAAAGGACTAGAAAGCACCAGTGGAAGACAAGAAATTCTATCAAAGATGGAAAGGCATAGCCAAACTGTGGAAGGAGCCTCGGTGTCCATCGAAAGATGAATGGATAAAGAAGATGTGGTTTATGTATACAATGGAATATTCCTCAGCCATTAGGAACGACAAATACCCACCATTTGCTTCAACGTGGATGGAACTGGAGGGTATTATGCTGAGTGAAGTAAGTCAATCGGAGAAGGACAAACAGTGTATGTTCTCATTCATTTGGGGAATATGAATAATAGTGAAAGGGAATATAAGGGAAGGGAGAAGAAATGTGTGGGAAATATCAGAAAGGGAGACAGAACATGTTTTCAACTCATACCACCAAATGTTTTAATTACACATCAATGAGGGGTTCCAATGGCAATGAAGTAGTTAATCAGAGGGGTCAGCCTCAGTTTTCAAGATTATCACCTTAGAAAGACAGCTGTGTGCTTGCTAAATCTTCCTCACAGTTAATCCAATCTCTTGACTAGTCCACAGATCTGACCCAATATTCCCATACTTCCACCTCCTAATTTTTTATAAATCAAGTCTAATTTTATAAAAAAAACTACATGATACACACTCTAAAGAGTAGAATAAAAAAACTAACCTTTCAGAAAGTCTGTCTGATAGCTTCTCAAGGAACTGCATGACAGTCTCTAAAAATGAAATCCAAAAGAAAATATCTTTAATTACATAAAATAAAATGAACATACCTGTTAAAGTTGGAATGTAATGGTTATAATCTATGCACTACAATGCCATTAAGTGATCATTTTCAAAAGGTCCCAGGGCTGCTAACATATAGTAGGCATATAATAAATAATTCCAGATGATGATGATCAATTTAACAGAAAACGAATTAAACAAATATAGTAATAATCCAAAGCCTTCCATTAAACCCCAAAATGAGGAATGAATGGGGAGTCAAAATTTCAGTGTGTTTCTATCTACTCATATGTGTAAGAGAAAAATAAGTTTTTTAGAGCTTTCTAATTTTTCCTGAGTTTTAAAAAAAAGATAGCTGGATTTTTATTTATTTATAAATATCAGTACAATTTAGAAGCATGATTCACTGAAAATTATATTTTAAAAATCAGGTTTTTTTCTGGACAACTATTTTTATTTTTCACATATAGCTGCAGAATACTCGATACAGGATCAATACCAAAAGAAAATATGCCAAAATTAGAACATTATAAATTTAAGCTCTGCTAGGATTTTAAGTACTTAAATACTTCAGCCATCTAGTCATTATATATTTGTTACAAACTCATAAAGGCAACATAGTACAACAACGATTATTTTCTATGATAGGGAATTTTTCATGTGTATTTTTGAATTTACCACTTTTTGCCATTGATTTATGTATAGAGAGCTTTCACATGTATTTTAGAGTTTGCCACAAACACTGTTTTTATATTTTCCAGATGATCTTGTATATGGTTTTAAGTTTCCTGCCATCTCCAATTTATCTTCTTTCTGAGTAAAATACAAGCCTGAGAAAAGAACGGAGGTTAACCTAAACCAAGAAGCCATGGGGTTTCCTGCCACTGTTGATCCTTAACAAGCCTCGTACACAGTAATCCTGAAAACAGTGCCTCATGTACCATATTAAATGGCATTAGACCTTTAAGAAAAAAACGGTTATTTCATTAAAAATGAAATCTTATTTCCGGATATCATACCAGCTGCATAGAGAAGTATTCTCAAGTAAGTCTATGCATGCTTTTTATTTCTAAACATTTTTTATTCACTTTCACCCATTTTTGTTTTTCTAGCTATTTTGCACATGAAAAATCTACCTCAATTCATCTACCTGAAAAATTGTCATATTAAAAAGAATGAGTTTGAAGATAAATGCCTCACTGGAGAATTATTTCCTAATTCACCTGTTGCAGGAATGGCCACCTTAAAACCTTGCTTCCCTCCTGCCCTCCTTCTGCCTCTTGCTGAAAGTTCACCATTTCCTCACCTCCAATTTCTTTTTTTTTTCTAAATATTCTTTTTTTTTTTAATTTTTATTTATTTATGATAGTCACAGAGAGAGAAAGAGAGAGAGGCAGAGACATAGGCAGAGAGAGAAGCAGGCTCCATGCACTGGGAGCCCGATGTGGGATTCGATCCCGGGTCTCCAGGATCGCACCCTGGGCCAAAGGCAGGCGCCAAACCGCTGCGCCACCCAGGGATCCCCTCACCTCCAATTTCTAGTTTCACTTCCCTCATGAAACCCTTGACAACCACATGAGCATCCGACAAACTTCCCCCACTCCTCAAATCCTACAGCATTGTTTTGACACTGAAAAGGCATTAACCTATACAATTATTTATCTTTATATTTATATAACTGATCTCACCAAGTAAATTTTAAATTCCTTAAGGACACAAGTCACATCCAATGTGACTCTATGCACAATAGCCTAGCTCCGAAATATGACCATACTAACCCCCTAGTGAGCGATGACATCTGGCATTAGCTGCAGCAGGTCCAGTGACCTCCAATTCACACTGCTCACCTCAGTGGTCAATCCTCAGCCTTCCTCAGACTGCACCTGCCCTCAGCATTTGAGTCAGCTGATCACTCCCTCCTTAAGACACTTCTTCATGTGGCTTCCAGGAGCACCTCCTCTGTTCATTTTTCTCCTCTCCCTGATGCTTGTTCTTGGCGGCCACTACTGGTTTTTCCTCAGATTTCTGACCTCTTAAACCTGGAGGGCACCAGACCCCATTTCCCAGACTTCTCTTCTTCCTTAGATGCATTCACTCCCTTTGAGATACCATACAATCTCAAAACTTTAAACAAAGACCTAGGGGCTCCTGGGTGGCTCAGTTGGTTAAGTGTCTGACTCTTGATTTTGGCTCATGAGAGTTTGGCTCAAGGCTCCATGCTCAACAGGGAGTCTGCTTGAGATTCTCTCCCTCTCCCTGTGCTTCCCCCACCCACACACTCTCTAAAATAAATAATCTTTAAATAAATAAATAAAGACCCAGATTTATATCTGTGGCTCAGAGCTCTCTCCTCAATTCCACAGATACATATTTAACTGCCTACTCAGTATCACCATGTGAATACCAATTGGTATCTCAACTTAACTTGAACCAAACCAAGCCTCCAGTCCTCCCCATTTTAGTTAACAGGAACTCACTATGTCTTTTCAGTTGACCAGGTTAAAAGCCTTGGTTTCCCCTCCAAAATGCTGCATATCCAGAATCAGACATATTCCCACAACCTCCTTTGCCACCATTTTGGTCAAGCTACCATCCTTCTCATAATTACTACAAAACAGCTTCTACATGGCCTCTCCTCCACCCCTGTCTCTCTGTAGTCTATCTCAGAGTCAGCAGCACATGACCTGCCATCAAAATTTAAGTCATGTCACCTTCCTTCTCTGCTCAAAATCCCTCAACGACTTGCCACCTCACTTGAGGAAAAGCCCTGCTGAACACAGCCCCTCCTTATCTGCCTCTGCCTCTTACCACTCCCCTCACTCACTCTGTCCACCGCTTTGCCCTTTGTGTTTTTCCTCAAACCAGGTCAACCTATGTAGGGCCCGCTGCACTCACTGTGTGTCCATCTGGAACTTTCTTTCCCTAGTGAGCCATAGGCTTATTTCTGCACTTCCTCCAAATCAACGCACACATGCCTCATCTTCAGCAAGCCCCTCTCTGGCAAGTCAGTTTAAAATCCAGCACCAGGGCAGCCCCAGTGGCACAGCGGTTTAGTGCTGCCTGCAGCCCAGGGCGTGATCCTGGAGACCTGGGATCGAGTCCCACATCAGGCTCCTGCATGAAGCCTGCTTCCCTCTCCTCCTGTGTCTCTGCCTCTCTCTCTCTCTCTCTCTCTCTCTCTCTCTCTATAAATAAATAAATAAATAAATAAATAAATAAACAAACAAACAAATAAATCTTTAAAAAAATAAAATAAAATCCAGCACCACCCCCACACGCTCATGCTCCTTATCCCCTAACCTGTTCAGTTCTCTCCACATCTTGTAGTAACTAATATCATACTGTGATCCTTACCTATTTATTTTGTTCTTATCTCCCTTATAGAAATATAAACAGCACAAGAGCAGAAATTTTCATGTCTTACACAGATTTATATCTAGGGCCTGGGATAATCACCAACATGTAGTGGGCACTCAGTAAATACTGAATCAATGGATGAAAACAAAGACTGAAGATGATGTCTTTTATATTATCTGTTAAGTCTCAAACAGCTTATGAAGACCATAAGTTTAGAGCATGGGTTTAGGTTTCAGCTCTGCCACTTTTTAGCACTATAACCTCGAAGTGGATACAAACATCTACCTCACACAGCTGTGCAGTAATTAAATGAAATAATGGCCAGTGGCCCAGAGTAAGTATCTTACTATTATTATAGTTGATCCTTGAACATCAAGGTTCAAACTGTGCAGGTCCACTTATACAAAGGTATTTTCGAAAAATATGGTACAGTACTATAAATGTGTTTTCTCTTTCTTATGTTTTTCCTAATAACATGTTTTTTTCTAGCTAACTTTATTGTAAGAATATAGTATATAATACATACAACATACGAAATATGGATTAATTGACCCTTTGTTATCAGTAAGGCTTCCAGTTGACAGTGGGATATTCATAGTTAAGTTTTGGGGGAGTCAAAAGTTACATGTGAATTTTAGATTGTGCAGGGTTGCAGGGATGTCCACAGCCCTGCATCATTCACGGATCAACTATACAGATAATAATAATAAAGTATTGTAACAATCTGATGACAACAATGACTACAGAAAAACATACAAAAATGACATAAGATCTATTTAGGAGTTAAGCGGGGTGAAAACAAATTGTATGCACATAAGGGGTTCAGAGACAAACAATGGCGTCTCGGGGAAGTGAAAAGGCTTTGTGAAAGAGGTGGGTTTTGAGCTGAGCAATGAAAAACCATATAAGATTTAACAGACTGGGAGGTGGGAGCTGTTGCCCATGCAGGGAACAACATAAGGAAAGGAATGAGTGTGATGAGCCCATGGTTTTGCAGAGAGCCTTGACAGGTCAAGGAAATGGACGTTTCTGAAGAACGCTTTGGAGAAGATGGGGACATACTAGAGTGAGAAGGGATATGCATGGAATGAATAAAGGCAGAACAGAATGAACAATGTGATCTTTCTCCCACACAGAATTCACTTCCAGTATTCCCTCTGTCCACGAAGGGCACGCCGGCCCAGATGCACAACCAGAAACCAAGGGTACCCAGCACACCATTTCCTCCTCCCTCTCAACCCATCACCAAGGCTCAGAGATTCAACCTCTAAAAGGTATCTTGAATAGGACAATGCCACCATCACAGCTACTCTACTCCTGACTCTGAGAAAACCCACTATAGACACTTACATTATTAGTACTATTGTATAAGGTTTTCTTTGATACATTACAAATCAGAAAGAACTCAACAGAGCACAAGGCAAGACTCTCACAAACCCTAGGTTGCTTTTTCCCCAACACAAATCTTCCCATTTCATACTCTTCTCTCTAAAAAGGAGGTTTATAGAACGATATGTTTTTATAGCGCTAGCCTATATTCAACCTTGTCTTCAGCACATACATTGATCTTTCCTCCTCTTTCACACTAATTCTAACCAATTTGGTTAGGCTGACCATAGAAACTAGCTGAGTTATAATGAAAATAATAAATAAATAAATAAATAAATAAATAAATAAATAAATAAATAAATAAATAAAATGAAAATAATTGAAATCAGCATCAATGAAAATTTAAGTATTTTCATTTACTCTCAACATGCACAAGACATAAATTACCATGGTTGGAGAGAATATATGTCAGATTATTTGCTCTATTTAGAAGTCAGTTTTATATAAAGATGTAGAATATCTCAATAAATAGGTCTCTGAGTATATTAAAAAGAGAACACTAATTTACAGCTATTTAAAATCAGAAGTTCAGTTTTGCAAAAATTCTATTTTACCCTGAAAAGTTGGGTAGGTGAACAAGATTACCTGGATTTTTGGCTATAGTTCCTTGGAGGGCTCTGTGGGAATATGTGGAATATCCCACTAACTTGGCCAGAAGGTCTCTGTGGCTGAGCAACTCTTCCAAACATTTCAACTGACCGGCATTGGGATAAAGAAAAATTTTGTAAGCGGCTTCTCGAACCTATATTTAAAATGTAAATGGTAGAAGGTATAAGAAGTGCCATGACACAAAGGCCCATGCAATGACAATATAGGCTAACTCTCTCACTTCTCTATTCTATAGGTGATCATTGCTTTAAAAATAAAGTCAGGTTTTATACAGGATGAATAAAGCTTTTTGATCCATACTACAAAGTTTCTGTAGTATGGGATATAAACACATCCTTGACTGGAGTTCTCTGTTATAGGCTATGGTGGAACAAACATTCACCCAATGCATGTGCCATAATCAGATTAAAACTACAGGCATTAAGAATCTAAGTAGTCTCAAATGTCAATTATTATCTATCATACTTTAAAAATGAGTTCTTTGGGCAGCCCGGGTGGCTCAGTGGTTTAGCGCCACCTTCAGCCCAGGGCCTGATCCTGGAGACCCGGAATCAAGTCCTACATCAGGCTCCTTGCATGGAGCCTGCTTCTCCCTCTGCTTGTGTCTCTGCCTCTCTCTCTTTCTCTCTCTCTCTGTGTCTTTCATTAATAAATAAATAAAATCTTAAAAAAAGTAATGAGTTCTTTATGAGACATGAATAAACCATTTTCATCATTCAAAGTATTAGCAGAAGTAATAATCTCACAGTCAAATTTTAGGCCTTAGTAACACTCAAGTATTTTTAAAGGTATGATGACATTATCACTGAATTTTGAGTTAAAACAGAGGCAACATACAGACAGAAGCCGAACTATGAAGAGAGTGGAATGCACGTACCAGGTCATCTGGAGCTTCTGCATGTAGACCATCAATCATGACATGATTTCCAGTGACTACAAAGTTACGATGAATGTGTTCTGGTAAGAGATGCTTCTCAACCTTGTTGGGAAAGTTAGTTCCCACGAGAAATGTATTACTCAAATCCAAGATTTTAACATTCAGGTCCACTGCTCTTTTACGCTAGATGCAGAGGGAGTAAAAGTTATTTAAAGGCATTTAAAGTAATATTTCACAACTGATTTAACAGACCATCTACAAAGATGGTAAAGCAACATATATGGTTAAATTAATTGAGATACTAAATAAAAGGAATACTATGTTGTTTATATATTATCTATAAAACATAATAATATCCTATAAATAGTATGCTAAATCTATTTTTGATAGATTCTTAATATCCTAACAGTTTTTATCGTATTTCTATGCTTTGAGATTTACATAAATACCAGGGTTCTATTTTATGCCTATAATCTTTTATATAACTAATCTTTGAAATTAATGATATTTGGAAGTACAGAATCCTTCTCTAATCCCCAAAATAACCTCTTAGTTAAGTGAATTGGAGTACAGTAGGTAGTTGAAGTATCGATATAAGTAGTTGGAGACTAAAAAGAGCAAGTAGGGGTGCCTGGGTGGCTCAGTCAGTCAAGTGTCTGCCTTCGGCTCAAGTCATGATCCTGGGATCCAGAGCCACCTCGGGCTCCCTGCCTGACGGTGAGTCTGCTTCTTCCTCTCCCTCTGCCTGCCACTCTCCCTGCTTGTGCTCTTACTCTCTCTCTTTCTGTCAAATAAATGAATAAAATCTTTAAGAAAAAGAGTAAGTATTGGAAGGGGAAAATTTGAAAATATACTCAGTCCTAAATGACGAGATAAAAAAGTAGAGGGAAAGGAAAGGAATTTTTTGCAAGTCTTCACAGGAGTACAGTGAACACCCAGAGGGGGCTGCCCTGTAGTGTGCACACACTTGAGCAGCTACAGAAGGACAGCAGCACAGTGGGAAGCAGAGCCAGACAGAGCGCACAGGCCAGGCCCGGTCTTCCAGCTCCGTGCCCGGTACCCGTCACCCCACCAACTCACGGGAGAGGATGTGGATGGCGTTGGCACACCCACATGGGCTTTTTCTTGCAGTCACACCTTTAGGACATACAATCTCCTGAGAAAAGATGTATTATCAAAGGGAGAGCCCACAGATGTTTTGGAAAAAACATAAACTGGTTCATGTAATCAATCCCATCTACTGGAGGACAAGGAGGAATCTGCAGTTGTTATTACTAAAAAACTAGATGGGCACCTGGTGAAATCAGATGCACCTCTTTCTGGGATGGTGGTCACTAGCCTTCAACACATTCTAAATTGTAGTATGACCCTTAAAAATGGTTAAGCAGCATTAACAATTTTTAAAAAGGTATTTAAGATGCCGACCTATGCTTGATAAGATGTTGGGGGAAAATCAAGTATATGTTAACCACCAAAAATTCTACAAGATAGGGGCACACGGGTGGCTCCACGGGTTAAGTATCAGACTCTTGATTTCAGCTCAGATCTTGATCTCGGGGTTTTGAGTTCAAGCCCCATATGGGGGCCACGTTAGGTCCCATGTGGGGCTCCACACTTGGTGTGGAGCCTACTTAAAAAAAAAAACTCACAACATAGAGAAATCAAACTTCATGGAAAAAAAATTAATTTTCAGATACTCCAATGTCTTTACAGTCCAAGTTTCTCTTTACCGATTTTGTCTCTATTATGGCCATCTATCGCCACCTAATGGCCACCAGCAGAATAACCAAAAAGGTGAAAGATTTGGAAATTACACTACTTTCCAAAAATATTCCCCAAAGCCTTTACTAATGGGAAAAAAAAAGTCATAAAACTATTTCAAAGAATTTTAAAAATCCCCAGAAAATTAAAAACTGGGTTACTTCCTGCATTCACCAATTTTCTAGGCATAGCATTCCATCATTCTGAGGTAAAGATATGATACTCTAAGAATTCTATGCAATTGTGTTATTTAACAAATGATTGCTAAAAAACATATACCTCCATCAATTTTAAACTTTTAAGTTATATTCATAAGAAACCTTAAAAATTAAATAAAAGATAACCTAGGAAGAATACAGAAAGAATATACAGGCCTTTATAATTTGTACATTATGTTGGTGGGTTTCTTTCAAAAAGCGTAACATGTCTCCTTTTATCCTGTCCTAGTGGAGCACCTTGGAGAACAGACACAGAGGTTACGAGAGAGGAGTTCAGCAGGTTTACTTTACTTGCATCTTTAAGGTTCGTGGGTTCCAGGGAGTGACATGCCAGGAAGGGCAGCTATCCTTTTAAGAATACTCAAGAAGTAAAAGCAGCAGGTTCAATGCTGGTGAAATAGACCTTGACTTGACACATAATACCTTTGAGTAAAGTTTCAAAAACATCTTTCCTGAGGATTATATAAAATAACAAGACTATTCACCTAGATTCTCTACTAGCAAGTCTACTATTCTCCACTATCTTCCTTCTGAATATCAAACTTAGTATTAGCTAGAATTATTATGATTCATCATACAGTCATTCAGCATTTGCTGAGGCCAAAACTGGAAAAACATGACTGGCATTCTTGGTCCTTAAGAATCCCATAATTTAGCTAAGTAATGCAATAGGAACAGCTTCAGTAACAGGCACTTAAAGATAAATGCCACATGCATGAAAGAAGTCAAATGGGAATTCAGACGAAAACAAAACTCCAGGTGGGGGATTGATAAAAGGTTCACAGACACAGTGTCTGAGGATAAGCAGGGGTTTAAGGTAGGCAGGCCTGGTGGGCAGACAGAGGAGAAGGAAGAGCCACATCAGGACCACACAGAGAAGGCACAGTGTAATGAGTTACAGGGGAGCCAAGGAACAGCTAGGAGAGCATCACCATGTTTGTTCTGTTACATATTAGCTGCTATAGGCAACAGAAAGTGACTGAGAGGTTCTGGGCAGGAGAGTAATGATTGAATCAATACTTTAAGGAAATCACACCAATGTTCACAGACAGGTTGGACTGACCAGCAGAAAATCTGAGCAGGGAGAGCTGAGCAGGCTCTGGAGTCTGAGCTCTGTGACGTTGTCACATAAATGCTAGGTGCCTTGGTTCCTCGTCTACAACACAGGAATGATAGCAATACTCAAACAACCTCACAGTTATTATATGAAGCTCTGATGAGAATGCATGCTTCAAATAGCAAATGCTTAATCACTATTAATTATAATGAGAGACAGGAAGACAAAGACCTTTAGGACAGGCCAGGTACATGGTGATAAGCTTCAGGGTGAGTTGTTTTGGGGATGCAGACAGACGTAGGAGCTCTACAGAAACGATCCAAGGACTCTGTCACTGATTAAGACATGAAAGTATAGGGAATTTAAAAAATGTGAACTGACCCCAAATTTTTATTCGAGTGAAACAGAAACTAGTGGATTTATTATGCAGAGAAGTATTACTAAAGAACTGGCTTGAAGAGAAGCCAATGTGTCAATTTTAAACAACATACATTTACAGTAGAGCCTATTAGCCGTGGGGACTGCTGGGTGGCATGTGTCGGCTCAGGGTTGAGGTTAGGAGTCTTGTGTTGAGCCCTTAAAGCCACATAAACACACAGGTGTGCAAGTGGCCCCAGCATTACTCAAACCCAGCACTAAGCAAAATGGTATTACCTATTGTAGGTGCTGCATATTCCCAAGACCCTGACCTCGACTTTCCAAAGTACTCTGACAAACTAATCTCTATTCATAAGTAAACGGCTTTATGCTCTATTTATTAGGAGAAACATACCTATGAAAAAAAAAAGGCATAACCATAACAGACTGCAGGCAAGTAGAGGAGATAACTATGGAGCAGGAAGATCTTTCAGTGGTGCTCAGTCACCCCACTCTCCCAGCCCTGAGCTTAATATAGAAATGAGGCACTCAGTTTCTTAGGATGCTGTGTTCTAGAAAGAGAAACAGCCAGGGTGAGACATTTTGGAAACAAAGGATGGGAACCTGAACAAATCATTTTGTCCTACTTCCTTATTTGTGAAAGGAGGGGTCTGAACAATGTCTAAGGTCCCTCCTGTTCCAGGGTAAACATTGTAGAACCCCTGCTTCCTGCTTCCAGAACAAAACCACATGGATCTGTCAAAGACACGTATAATATGAACACGCACATGTAAAGGTCTCAGCGATAATCCCTGTGCTCCCACTCCCAGACCTCAATCTTCAGCATTCTCAGCTTTCCTGTTCACTTGCCTCTCTTTCCTGATATCGCCCATCTAGGATGCCACAACACTTCAAACACCTCAACTGTCTCGTGTAATTTCATAATTCTCAACTATCGTGCATAATGGACAAATTTCCAGATAGTGCTACATTCAAATATAACAAAAGAAATTCATAACACAAACAACCTAAAGTTTCTGTGATTTGCATATTTAAGCAATGTACAAGGACTGTAGCAATAAAGATACCAACCAGATATTAGTAAAATTAGCATTAAAAAGCAGAGAGGAAAGATTCACCTTTTCTTTGTCTAGATGGATTCCACTGATTTCAAAATCAAACATAAACAGTTCAGCCACTCGCCTGTAAATAAGAACCCAGGTTATAACATATAATAATAATAAATAAAATCACTTTCTTGTTAAATAAATTGGACTTTTTCAACCAAACTCCCCAAAAGCCGGGATCCCTGGGTGGCGCAGCGGTTTGGCGCCTGCCTTTGGCCCAGGGCGCGATCCTGGAGACCCGGGATCGGATCCCACATCGGGCTCCCGGTGCATGGAGCCTGCTTCTCCCTCTGCCTGTGTCTCTGCCTCTCTCTCTCTCTCTCACTGTGTGCCTATCATAAATAAATAATAAATAAAAAATTTAAAAAAAAAAAAAAAAAAAAAAAAAAAAAAAAAAAAAAAAAAAAAAAAAAAACAAACTCCCCAAAAGCCAAATGTTTACACACACACATGCATACATGCACACACACATACAGATAAATTTGTTTGAAACCAGGAATTAACATCTTAGAAATCAGGCAAAATACCCAGCTGCTCTCCTATGGATGATTTGGCATCATATACATCATGTTAATGGTATAATAAGCCTTAAATTGAACCAAGGGAATGATGATTACTCGAATAGGCCAAATTTATCTGCTGTTCTGCTTTTTTTCTAGAAAAGATGGACATCCTTTCAATTATCCACTGCTTTTCCTTCAAAAAATATTTGCCACATACTTTATGCAACCCACCAAATAAATACTCATGGGACACACACATGATTTCCAATTGCAACTAGATAAGCCTGTATACATATAACTATAATATGCTTTATATCTAGCATGTATATTTAACAGAACTATACTCTAAGATGCTTGTGAGTAAAGACATGAATGTTTCATAAGGCATGGTCCCATAAAGGGACAAATACTTTTTGAATGAATGAATACAAGGTAAAGATACAGTAAATTTCCTAACATGGATACAAATAAAGTATTTGGGGAGTTCTAAGAGAAACCATCAAGCAGGCTCCTCACTTATCAGCTTCCATTCACCTTGTGCTAAATTGGCTTAAGACTTGTGAGGAAAGGTTCCTCACCATCTCCAGAACTAGTACTAGTTTGCACTATGGAGAGGAACATTTTTAATAATCATTGAATGCATCTGCAAACGTAAGAGCAAGCCCTAATTTTCCTACCCTTTCCCTGATGTAACAATTTCATCAGAACAATAAAAAAAAAACAATAGTGGAATAGAAAGTATCTTGGATAGTATCTAAAGTAAGGGGCAATTTTTCATTAATTTTCTCCTGTAATATCTTATATTTAGAAGGACATTTCTCCCTTTTTAGTTATAAGCTAATTTGATATAATTTACTTCCCATTAGACACCAGAGGAATTAAAATGTTGAATTCATACCATATCCTAAATGGAAGAGAATTATGTGTGTGCTGGAAACAAGATGTCATCATGCTGTGCCACGAAAGCACGGACCGGTACACACAGTACATTAGAGTGAAAAACATGGTCCCTGATGTCCAAAAAATAAGAGTGTAATATCACTCTTAAGTAAATCTGACTGATAAATATGTATCAGGGGATCAGGAAACAAGAGTGTATCTTATAGAGCTTATGCTAGTATTACTAACCTGTAAGAAAGAAGTAATCACACATCACTTTCTTAGCAATATGAAAATTACACAGTAAATGGTAGCTATTTATTTGGTGGTGAGGGGGAAAAGGATTAGAAAGAAATAGGGCAATCAACCAAATTAACCCCTTCTGGGCGACAGACTCTCCAGACACCTTTTCATTCTTTAATAAATACACTTTCTTTCCTGTCAAGGGCCTTCCAGTCATGCCATCCCCTCCATGCAGGTGGTGCTTCAGGGACAGTAAGTCCTCTCAAGAAAACCCTGCTTAGATGTTTTGGCTAGACCACCTTCCTAATGAGAAGGCCCGTTATAAAATGTTCTTAGAGCCCTGTACTTCTAATTCCCTACAGTGCAATGCAGTTCTCTTTGTGTGTGTCTGTGTGTGTACTGGATGCTTCTCCTCCAACACTATACTGCGAGCCCCTCTGGAGAATGGGGTCTTGGTTTCTGCCATCTAATGACTGACTCTTCAGTGCCTGGCACAGTGTTTGTGTCTGAGTAGCTTCCATACCGACTTCTCTCACCTGCTGATAAGTGGCAGCATGTCTACCTAGACCAATATAGAGACATTACCATATATTATCTATATGCATTTTCACCAATTTAATCTGAATACTATAGAATGCATTGAGACCCACAGAGGAAACTCTTCAGAAACACATACTCATCACTGTCCTTTCATGCAAAAAAAAATTTATCAAAATAGTTCTGCATATGTACCTTGTTATTTAGAAAATTATCTGTTCTTATTAAGTTTTCAAATTTATTTCCACAGACTAGGGTTAACATAATTCCTTCTATAATATTTTTAACTTTCCCTGTTATATCTGTAATCTTATCTCAAATTTTGGATTTGTAACTTTCAACAACTTTTAAATTATATTATCTACCGACTTCTTCATTTTACTCATTTTTCCAAAGAGTCAACACTTGGGTTTATTTATCATTTGTCTGTTTCCTAATGCTTATTTGCATTTTTCTTCTTTTTGTCTTTTCTCTTTTAACATTCAGAAGTGCTTTAAAGTTCACAGAAAAACTGAAGGAAAGTATTACTTTTATTTTCAATTAACTTCAGTTGAATGTTCCTCACATATTTTTCTTTCCTATTACTAATTATTTAAAGTTATGACATTTCTTCTGTGCATTTTAGCCACCCACAATAAAAATGTTATTTTCTGTAAAAAATAAAATAAAATAAAATAAAATAAAATAAAATAAAATAAAATAACCCCTTCTCTCCTTCCTAATACCACTGTCCTAGCTCAGGCAGTGGTCCTCCTTCCCCTGATATACTGTAGCTAGCCCTACTGCAATGCATCACCTTCCTCCAGTCCTCCATCCCTACGGATGACCTTTCTCAAGGTCAGAATCCCTTGGCATGATCAACCTGGCACGTCATGAAACACCTGTCCTCCACTGCAAGGTCTCTGAAGGCTGTCCTTCACTACTAACCAAATTAGGGGCCTCTGCTATGGACTCCAATAGCATTTATGATTTCCACTTACCAAACTTAATTTAAAAAAAAAAATAGGGAGAACATAGAATGTTTTAAAAAGGTTGTATTGGAGCCGTATGATAGTCATGAAAAAAAAAAAGTCATGAATTGTAATACTTGGGTTGTAAATGCTTTATAAGGAGTTTAAGTATAATAACCAAAGAGGGAACAAAGAATAACTTCAACCAATGTTTTAAAAAGTCAATATATGTACTGCAGAACATGAAAAATAATTATGACTAGCTTTACATGTAGGAGCTTATTCCTTTATTCAGAGTACAAACCTGAGACCACCACCACGATAATTACTTATTTCAACTCCATCCAAATTCCAATAATTAAAAACATAAAACAGTGTGCACTTAGACAATTTTTCAAAGGCTCTATTGCATGAGATTTTCAGTTTTTCTTCCAACTAGTAGCAGCTACTTAGAATATTAAATTCTTTGATGCTATGCCGGAAGCTGAGTTTCTTGGCTAATGAGAATCATTTTCTTTCTCTTTAATCCTACTACATGCTTGGAACCAATTTCAAATGTAACACCTCTTTCTGTCAATAATTTTTTTAAACTACTAGTTTTCTGGAATTAGTTATCCAAATATTTGATCTACTCTCCTGGCTTTCTCTGACTTTTCATAAAGGGTATATTTATCTTCTTGATTATTGTGCCAGTATACCTTGAATGGACAGAATTAAAGTTCTTCTAAATTTCTGAAAATTCAATAGTCCACATTAATAATTTAGTCACTTACCTTATTTCTTAAATAATGCAAAGCCCCTAAAATATTCCCATTATCTCTACCTCACAGTGATCTCCCATCCTGAACAGTCAACCTAAAACACATTCCACTCTGTCTCTTCTAGAAACAGTATTTTGTTTGATTTATTAAGAGGGGAAAAAAAACAACAGGCATTGATAAATGGGGATGGGAATGTATAAAGTAAGTTTATCATATTATATAAGTTCATTGTATAACAGCTTTGTGTAGAAATGTAGGGAAAAAGGAAAATCACTAATCTCACCAAAGATAACCACCATTAAAATTCTTACATTTCCCTCCAATCTGTTTATTTTTAAAGGCTATGCAGAAAATGTGAAATTAAATAACATAAAGTTAGAGAAGTTGGCACAGTGCCCAGCACATAGTAGATACTTGAAAAATGTTTGCAGAGTTTCTGAATGGACGTAAGAGGCACTTAATTCCCTCACACACCAACTCCACTTGATGGAGGAGGGCCAGGTGGACTGGTGGGGGACACGCAACAGGACCGCATCCTGAGAAGCAGAGACAGCATCTGCAGTCTCATAAAGGCACTGTCTCAGTGGCAATGTAGTTGTGGCTAACATCAACAACAATAAAGACCCTCCCTTGGCTTCCATCCAATCTACTTGAGTATGTTATACTACTTATTTAAGATAACTGGGAGCCAAGTAACAGACTTTTATCTTGCTTTTTCTCTAAAATTAAACCACAAACATTGAACATTTCCTTTTAAAATTTTTTTTTCAATTTATTTATTTAAGAGAGTGAACAAGAGCACAAGTTGGAGGGAAGGTCAGCAGGGGAGAGGGAGAAGCAGACTCCCCGTTGAGCAAGGAAAGCCCAATGCGGGCTCCATCCGAGGACCCTGGGATCATGACCCAAAGCGAAGGCAGACGCCCAAATGACTGAGCCACCCAGGCGCCCCTATCTCTTTAAATACTCTTCAGAAACATGGCTTTTAATGTTTGTAATATTTGGTCATATGGACTAAAAATATTTTCGTTTTTCCCATTCCTGTAATTCATGCTATGATAAAAGTCCCTGTTACATACATCTCTTTATTCTTGTTTCCTGAGAACACATTCCAAGAAACGAAACTGATCAAAAAGGTGTCCTCCATAAATATTTATCAATTTGCACTTAACTAGACAGGACCCATTATCCTAAGCCATTCAAACTACCCTTGCTCTGTTTCAACTTGGTTAAGTGATGGGCTCTTTGTTCTTTAAGGATGGCAGGGTCCTGTTCTTTGAATGACTACTATGTGCCAGTCACTGTCAAAGCATTTTACTTTCATTATTTCATTTAAACTTCATAAAAATCCTATGAAGTACTTTTTAACTCTTTTCTTACAGAGGAGAAAACAAGACCTGGAGAGCCAAGGAGCTAATATCCAACCAAAGTAGTCTAATAGTACAGGCCACATGTGCAGCCACTGTTTCACATTGATTACATGTATCACACTTATTACACTGTTCCAGGTTTCTTTTTTTTTTTAATATTTTATTTATTTATTCATGAGAGAGAGAGAGGGAGAGAGAGAGGGAGGGAAGGCAGAGACACAGGCAGAGGGAGAAGCAGGCTCCATAACAGGGAGCCCAATGTGGAACTCGATCCCAGGACTCCAGGATCAGGCCCTGAGCTGAAGGCAGCACTAAACTGCTGAGCCACCCAGGCTGCCCTGTTCCAGATTTCTTGCCCATCTGTTGCTATTCCTTATTTTGTGAAAGGAGAGTTTCACAAAAAAAAATCCTTTATCTAATTTTCTAAAAGGAAATACACGTTTGTTGATTTTTAGTAATCTGTAAGGACTCTTAACACAGTAAAGATATTAACCCTTTATTGTGTAAATAACATTTGTCCCAGTATTCTGTATTCTGTATTCTGACTGTGAATGTGGAAAAGTTTCGCTGTACCGAAGTTTGCAGTTTTCAGATAATCAAATCAATCTCTTGTGGTCTGACTTTGTTATCATGAGAAGACAGACTTCCCATATTCCAAGATTTTCAATACTTTTATGATTTCCTTTTTTAAAAAGATTTATAACTTTAAGTAATCTACTATTTTCTCGGAATAGCAGGGAATCTGGCCTAACATCAACTACTGAAAACCCTACTGATACTAAATGACACTTTTATCATATACTAAATAGTCTTATATATATTCGTGACTGAATTTCTCTCTTCTTCCATTGATCTAATTGACTACGCTGGTTTAAGTACAAGACTTTTAAATATAGCATTTTTATAATATGTCTTACTATCTGGTACAAATCCCTTTTTAGTACTTTTCTCACCAGTTTTTTCCTGTCTTTTCAGCCACATTTATTGTCTATGACTTCAAAATAATTTAAAGTAACAACAGAAATATGTTCTTTATAGATTGTATTTCACTGAACTTATGGACCTAGTAGAAAACATCACTGAGCTTTCTTCTTATCTAAGACAATGTAAGTTTCTCCACTTAATTGTCTCTCATATTTAAACTTATGTGTGCGTGTTGAGGTTCTGCATGCTTTGCATTCCTGAGTTTATTTCAAGGTATATTACAACTTCTGTTGCTCTTGTGACTGGGGTTTTCCCTCCATTATATTTTCTGAAGATGATGAGTTTATGTTCCTTGCATATAAGAAAGCTCTTAATGGTTTTGGAAAAACCCAAGTAAAACAGGTTTCTTTATGGCTGGGCTTCTCACAGACTCTAATAAACTAAAACTCTTCAAGAGGAGACCATACATAAATGTGTCAGATTTCCAAATTTAACTAATGGAACCCTTCTGGGAATACTTTTGAATAGCTCATAGAACTAGTATTTCAAGGAATGTATCAAAGAATAAGATGATGATCTACTACTCAATTTAAATCACTTCTTTTATACAGTAACTTTTTATGACGAGATAATTTATTAAATCTATAATTCTCTGGCTTATATGTACAATTTATAATTCTTGTCTCATACCTTACTGCACACAAGGTCCTCTCTGAGTGCTAGCCAACACTCGATGATGCACAAGTGCCATGATATTTCAATAATTATTACTTTAAATTCTTGCTTTCCTCTACTTCCAAGTCTCCTTTCTAGAATACTGATACTCTCCCTTGCTCATTTTTTCCAAGGTAGTCATCATTTTGTCACTTTAAAGATCCTGTTGGTGTTTTTAGTAACATCTAGAAATGAGGACATATTCTGTTAGAACAAGTTCTTTGCACCTAAATAGTCTTCCAGTCCACCCTACTTTTTCTATGTTAAATATAGAAAAGTTGATCATTAGCAAAGTCAGGTTATGAATAACCTGCTATCTCTACTCAATGTCCATACCAATTGAGTATAAATCCAGCACAATGAGCAGGCATTCAACTTTGACTTGTTTTGTTAACAAAGACAGTGTTAAGCTCAAGCCTAGAAGTATGATAAAGACAAAGTATTCTGACGGTATAACCAGCTTTCCTAGTATCCTGAGGCTCAGGATCAATGTAGCGAACTAAGATCAAACCTATACCTGCATACTAGAAGTCAGGTGAAAATAATCCCCCAAAGACAGCCTCATTGTATGATTTCTATGGCATGGTGCTTGTGTATCAGATTAACAGTGAGATCCCATATCAACTGATCCCTGCAGAACAGGGCTTCACGTGGGAGTCATAAGCCACATAACGGAGACAGAAAGGGGAGAAGGAAGCAAGAGGGAGATTGAGGAATGAAAAGAAGTAAGTGTCCCAGTAAGTGTCCCATAAAATACAAAGTAGATGAGCAAATACAAACAGGTAAGAAAAAATATTAACCTCTGTGCTACAAAACAGGTAATATGTAGGTGGGTTAGTGACAAACTTACAAAATCATTATAAATAAATAAGCTTGAGCAAAGAAACATGGCATCCAAAATCCTACATTAAATATTTTTATGCACTGACTTAGAAATTCAGCTTTTTCAATTCAGATCATAATAAATGCAATTGAATGAACCAAAGGAAACCATTTCAAGGATCATGACATCCAACCAGTCAATAAAATCAAATTGCTTCTATCTTCTGGTGGTATCAATTATAGAACTTCAAACATGAAGCTAAGTGTGATTGCCAACTGCTAATAGGAAGTCATTCCATTATGAAACCCCTACTACAGGCCAGGAACTGCTGCAGGTGCTGGGATGCAGCCCTGAACAAAATATACCCAATGCCTGCCCTCCAAGAGGAAGAGAGATGTAATCAAATTAGCAAAGAGATAATGCTGGAAATAAGGACTGAGAAGAAAACACAAGCAGAGTAGGAGGAGACACCATTTGAGTGAAGTCCTAAAGAAAGTGCCAGAGTTATATAGTGACCTGGGAGCAATACTGCAGACAGAGGGGGCCGTGAGTACAGTGACACTAGTTGTCCTTCCAATCTGCCTCAATAGTCACAACCATAATTAATGCAAAGGAAGAAGTACCTGGTTTCTGGATCGAGGGACTCCACAAGTTTTTTATCAGCTAGCAATTTTTGCAAACTCTGATATAATTCCACATTTGTGTTCAACCTAGAAAAATTACAAATGAAAAAAAAATAAACAATCTTCTAGTATCTTCTATTTAACTTTACATTAAGAGAATGGTGTCACATCCTAGCATACACACGCCCACAGGCCAAAGGTTTGGGGTTTTGTTTTGTTTCTTTATTTAGTATAGAAATAGTACAAACCACAGTTAGTACAGAAACAGGCAGTCCCTCAAGCAAAGTGTCAGGGTACTAAGTGTTGTGAAAGGTAAAAGGATAAATTTAAAGCCACGGTCAACAGCTGGAACCAGAAAAGCAGACAGGAGAGAAGGGAGGGGGAGGAATGTAGTAGCTGGTGAGCTGAGCGATCTGAGCCTACTGCCACTGAGAATTCATTCAGAGCAACATGCTGATGGCCATTTGTTTGTTTAATAAAAAGGGAATGAAGATGGGAGGAAGCATGAACACAAAGACTGTGCAGTTCCAAAGTGAAGAGCCTAGAACATGGGTGACCTTTGCCCACCTGGGCCACAGTGGCAGGCTCACATGGCCACACAGTGAAGAAAGCTCAAGGATGCAGGCTTCAGGGCCACACACTAGAGTTACAACACCAGCCCTACTACTACTTGGTGACCTCAGGCAAGGATTTGAACTCCTCCAGCTTGTTAGACTGCAGGTCACCCTGAGGGTTAAATGAGATGCTCCCGCCATGAATGAAGAAATAGTAGTTACAATTAGGTGGCCTTGCCAGCCTGCTCTCAGCCCCCCAACTGAGTACTGCCCTCAACCCAAGCCACAGTCCCACTACCAGGTCCTGAGTTCTTCTTTCCTGGATGCCAGAAAGCCCTGCCACTCTCGGAACTAAACAGTGACTTGGTTTCAGACATAATGTGATCCCTGCCCAGTAGATCCCCAGGGAAGGGAGGCTGTAAGAACTGTCTGCCCATTCTGACTCAGGAACTCAAGGATGGCCAGGTTCCCTAATGAGTCAAAAACCTGCAGCTCTGTAGAAATTGAAGTTTCTGTTGCTATGGCTCTCGTGGACCACCCCAAAGACCAAGGGAACTGAGGCAGTCACCACCAGTGGGAAAATGTTCAACAAGAAGAGCAGGCACACCACCTCTCCTGCGCCCAGGCAGCAATCCCAGGAAACTGGAAGAAAATCAATGTGGCCCCCCATCACCTCCAGGATGGCTCATTCAACAAGCTACTACATACATGTCAAAAGGACAGGCATTCAGACACAGCCTGTGCTGTATCCTCTTCAGAAGTTTCAGCACATCTCCCGCATTATGTTTTATGTCATAAGATCCTGAGATAAAGTCTCTATTTTAGTCTATGGCTGGCATCAACTCTAAACAAACACACCTAACCATAGGCTTTTATTTCCACTACTGGGGAACAAATCAATTCTACACACACACCTGAAATCATCCTATTTCTCAAAGATCAGCTCCAGTAGTTAAGGCATGATTCAGTTAGACTCAAGAGGAAAAGGAGTCCTAGTGCTCAGGGAGAACCGAGAGCAAAGCACGGGTGAAGGCCACTAGTTCTGTGTCCTGACCCACTTGCAGGCCCTCGACGGGCCTCGGGGCAGCCGGTGGAGTGTGGCAAAGAAGGAGAGAACTGAAACACTCTCCAGGATGAAGTGAAGACCTTGCACAGATACTCTTGACAACCATTTGCTACCAATTATGGTCTCCTTGTTGTCCTGCTGCAAAATTAAGAACCCACATCCATCAGACCAGAGCTGTATCTCAGCTCAGGCCCGATACAGTGTTCAAGGTGCCTCAGGCAGGCACCCCAGCAGCTCATACTCATTTCCGGGGGCTCTTCCCTGGGCAGTGCTGTCCCTCCCAAGGAAGCCACAATTGCAGTCCCTTCCTCACACCCAGTGTCTGGAGTGTGCAGGGACCCGTTTTATCTCAGTCAATGAGTAGATTTTCAATGGCTCTAAGAGAACTTATATGTATTGTCCCAAAGAGAGCAAATGATGCTCAGTGCGGGTGAAGCAGCAGTAGCACCTCCTGAAGTGTCAGGTCAAAACCAGAGAAGCCACCACACTCTGTGACCACACACCTCCTCCAACTTCTGGCTTGTGAAAAAGCCCTCCAATGTTTTCCAGTGGTATGTTCATGCCCAGCGAGCCCCTGCCATGCTCACTCGCTTTCGACAGTGTCTGGCATGGCCTCATGCACTTAAGTGCCTTTGAATATGGCACTGTCCACCTCCAAAGTCATTTTCACAAGCACTTTCAAGCTCTTGGTAAAGGCTTAAAATATTTAAATCAACCCCAAGATTGCTTGAAAATAACTCATTTCATCAAAGCCCCAGCCTGCCTCAGCCCTCCCAGACAGTTTTATGATCTCCTTAGACAACCTCCCCACCCCAGATTCAAGGGACCACAAGGCTACTTTGCAGAGGCAGTGTTGGCTTCTTGCCTAGCGCCCACAGCCATCATCAATGCAATAGCAATTTCATTACAGGATAATCAAGAAATTCCAACTTGCCACTGAGATACTAAAAAACTCTTACTTTAAATAAATAAATAAATAAATAAATAAATAAATAAATAAATAAATAACTCTTACTTAATGTAAATAATAATGAGTGGATGTTTGCTACATGCCTGATACCACCAGAAGCACTTTATTATCTCATTTTCCTCACAATACATCTAAGAGGCAAATCACATTACTTCACTTGCAGACAAGGAAAAGAACTGATAAATAAGCTGATGAATAGCCAGTCACAGTGCTGGTGCCAAGGAGACCACAGTGGCCTGCTCCAGGGTCCTCCCTCTTCCCCAGCACCCTGGGCACTGTGCAGGGTAGCACACCATCCCCTAACCTGCAGGGAGGAGCCCTAGAGACAAATTTCCTAAAGCAAAAGTCAACAAAACCACATCACCCCAAGATTGTAATGAAGGGGAACAGAACATACTTTTCTACCATGGTGCCAATACTTCTACAAGCTTCTTCCGCCGCCTCTCTGAATGCGGGCTCAGGGTGAGCAATTTTCACAAAATCGGCCTAATAAAGAAGAAAGACAAAACCAAGAGGGAATTTGATGGAAAGCTTTCTTCCAAGATCTGAGGGTAAAAATGAAAACCTGTGCTTTCAAGTGTGCCATTTGGCTTGACATAGGCATTTCCATTACTGAAATTTTCCTAAACTAGAAGGGCAAAGCAGCTACTTTCTGAACATTTATTAATTCTGTTATTCCTTAGAATCAAGTGGGTTTCATTCCAAAGAAAATACCTGCACTAACTTTTAGAAGTCTTTCTCCTTCAAAAATAAACACCAAGTGAATTCTTCCTAATTCTACAGTCCAAAAAAGCAGAATCTTATTTCAAATATTCTAAAACTGTTGGCAATATGGTCCTCACGTGTTAACCTGGCTCCAGAGAACAACTATAGAGGCTTTTTTTCAACTGACAGCATAGTTTCAAGACTGATTTAACTACATTCTAGCCTTTGTACAGAAAACAAAGGCACATTCTCTCTTTATAGGCCTTTTAATAAATATGAATTCCCAGTCTCAGCTTAAATGACTCACAACTAATAGTGGTGCAGTGGCTGCTATCCTGACTTAAGCATTACGCTGAGCTAGAATTATTTTTACTCTTTTAATGAAATTATGTAAAGCCAGATTTTAGTTTTCACGTTAATTGTAGCATACTGCAAAAGAAAAACGCAAGGGAACTACACATTCTTCAGTCTTCAAGAAAACGTGTGACTATAATATGAAATAAAATCACCACAAGGTAAAATTTCCTAATTTTATTATTAAATATTTTTAATATAAAAACATTTAAATCCACAGTTTTATACATTTGATATAACAATAACATTAGTACTTGAAAAATGAGCCATGTAAAATTTACAATTTGTATAAATTACTAATCTACATGTTGCAGAATTTACAATCAATATTTATTTCAAAATGCTGGCATATATTTTAAAATTCATTTGTGGGGCGCCTGGGTGGTTTAGTCGGTGAAGGGTCTGCCTTCAGCTCAGGTTATAATGTTGGGATCCTCGGATACAACCCCACGTGGGAGGGGATCCCTGGGTGGTTCAGCGGTTTAGCGCCTGCCTCCGACCCAGGACATGATTCTGGAGTCCCAGCATCGAGCCCCACGTGAGGCTCCCTGCATGGAGCCTGCTTCTCCCTCTGCCTGTGTCTCTGCTTCTCTCTCTCTCTCTCTCTCTCTCTCTCTCTGTCTCTCGTGAATAAATAAAAAAATATATTAAAAAAAAGAACCCCACGTGGGTTCTGCTTCTCCCTCTCCCTCTGCCCCTCCCCCCACTGAGCACCCCTGCTGTTTCACTCTCTGTCTCTCTCTCAAATGAATGAATAAAATCTTTTCAAAAAATTCTTTAGAAACAGTGATAGCAATTGTATTAAAAAAGAAAAAGAAAGCAAAACCAAATGATCATTTGGTGGGAAATAACAGTTTATGAAGCCCTTGCCTTATTACAGTATTGATCTTACTGGCAGGTCAAGTCTTAAAAATTCAGAAGGAAAACGGTTCTTTGAATTTTTTACCCAAAGATTTCCACATAGAGATCACATTTAGAACTTTTTAAATGAGATTTTACTATACCTCATAAATACAAAAAACTTGCAAAATAGGACAAGCTATGGGGCAGAGAGTTAAAATCTCTTTAGAGAGGAGCAAAAAGCAAAAATGTAAAGAAAAAAAAATCCTAGAACACCACTTAATTAAAATGGAGGCTAAGACAACAAATAAACCACCAACAAAGTCAATACTTGACTGCACGTAAGTGAAACTCTCTGACAAATATTCTCCTTTTCAGATTTCAGTGACACAATTAAGCAAAGGTAATTGCTGAGGCATTCTCAGGCAGTGCATGTCCCGTGTCCTCAATCGTTCAGTGTCAGTACCTGCACACTTCAGAACAAAACTAAGATCCTATAAAACCAAGAAGTGACGAAAAGGAGTCTGCAACACACCTTACTTCACTCTTGGGAAAAACCCTTTAAAACACTATCAGTTTCCTTAAAATAGGGTGGGGGTTGCTTGGGGGGCTCAGTTAAGCATCTGCCTTCAGCTCAGGTCATATCTCAAGGGTCCTGGGATGGAGCCCCGCTGAGCAGAAAGCCCACTTCTTCCTCTTCCTCTCCCTCTGCCCATACCTCCCACTCGTTCGTGCTCTCTCATGCTCTGTCTCAAATAAATAAATAAAATCTTTAAAAAGTAAATTTCCTTAAAATGGGGGCGCTCACAGTGACAGTATGACCATCTAAAAGGTATTACTGCTCAATTCAGGTGTATGGGAGGGAGAGAATGTTCCAAACGGGGGGAAAAAAAAAGATGGGGAGGTGTTATGCTAGGTGAAAGGAGTCATTCCCAAAGGACAAATGATTCTGTTTACCTGATGTTTTAGAAGAGACAAACTATAGGGATGGAGAACAGATGGGTAGTTGCCAGAGCTAAGAAGGGAGAGCTGGGTCTGACTATACAGGGGCTTTTCTGGGGCAATGGAATAGTTCTGTACCTTAATTGTGGTGGTGGCCACATGAATACATGAGTTAAAATTCATAGAACTGTATCATCCCCCAAAAGGAGTCAATTATACAGTATGATCATTTTAAAAATAAATAAATACTTTTTAAAAAGATGGGGATGCTGACTTTCTAACCTCTCCCAGGTACAGATGGTCTATTCATCTGACCTAAGCAGCCAGCCAGCCTATAAAAGGTACAGAACAGCAGGTGAGGACATGAATTCTTCAGCCAAAATGCCTGGACCTGAGCTCAGTTCCACCATTTACTGGCTAGGTATATCACTTAACCTCTTACAGCCTTTCTTTCCTCATCTGAAAATGGGAGATATACTGAGAAGGTTAATTTAGTTAATCCAAGCAAACCTCTTACCAGAATCTAGTGCCTCATAAGATCTAAAAAAATAAAAAAAAAAAGTTAACATCAGAATATAAACTCCGGGCAGCCCCAGTGGCGCAGCGGTTTAGCGCAGCCTGCAGCCCAGGGCGTGATCCTGGAGACCCTGGATCAAGTCCCACATCAGGCTCTCTGTAGGATGCCTGCTTCTCCCTCTGCCTGTGTCTCTGCCTCTCTCTCTCTCTCTCTCTATGAATAAATAAATAAAAAATCTTTAAAAAAAAAAAAAGAATATAAACTCCATGAGGTCAGAGATTGCACCTGTCACGACTGCATTCCCAATTCCTAGAAGAGTGCTTGGCACATGGTGGGGACTCAATATTGAATGAGTGTGAAGATATACAGTCCCATACCAAGTAGACAAGATCAAGAGGGTCCACAATTTTGGATTATGTGCACTACTAAAATTGCCTTCACTGACATGACTAAAGCAGAGGTGGCTCTTTTGGGCAGCTAAAAAAAATCGTGCCTTCTACGTCGACAATGGGCTTCTTGATGAAGCCCAATGTACCCTATGTACATTGTCTATTCCAGTTTCAAAATGTGAAAAAAGAAAGTCTATAATACAGGTTCATATCCAATATTCATCGGAAAAAGACATTCCTGAGAAGGTTTATAAACAGTGGCTTTTCTTAAGATTTATTATAAATGTACAGGTAAATGTCATATTAAAATTTTGGTGGAAGTTTTCATGAATGAAGAATCTTTGTCAAATGAAGACTCTTTGCCAAATGAGTAGTCATTCTTTTATTATATGTCACATATGTATTTTTTAACTATACATATTAAAGTACAGATGCTACATATCACCTTTTCCTATACATTTTTCCCATACCTAATGACTTACTCCCACTATAACAAATTATACACTCAACAGCTCTCAAATAGGTCACATGTTGTTAGTATATATGCCAAAGCGAGCACCAGATGCTCTGAGCTCTAGTCTGTAACAGTAAACCTAATAAACTTAAATTTTAACAGCTTGACAGAGAGGTAGCTTCAAGGCTTACACCAAGCATCTTACCAAGTCAGCCACTCTGCACAAGGAATCAGAGAGCTCGTCGAAAATGAGCACGGTCTGGGGCCCAGGCGGCATGGAACACACGCGCTCCACCAGCAAGTCTGCCTTTCTCAGGGCATTTTCTTGTGCAATCTGAAATCCTTCTGGGGCACTGAGCTCAGGAACTCCAAAAAGACCCTGCAATCCAGAGAACATTTCCAATTTGTAATGAAGAATAGGATTTTTTCATATTAAGTCCTCTTTTCATAAAGGAAATCTTGGTTTTCATTGGTATATCATGTAATACCTGTGATCACAGACACCACGTTCACATCCCCCACATTGTTCCACATAAATTAGACTACAAATATTTTAAGGACGGAATTGGTCTTTCCTTTTTAATTATTTAATAAAAAACAAAAATAGAATGGTATAGGTTCAAAATCCAGCTCAGCCACTATTATAGAACCTACCTCATCAAGTGGTTAAAATGATTAAATGAGATGATACATGTTTGAAAAACATTTTAACAGTGTGGGGCACACAGAAAGCATTTAATAGATGGTAGCTATAATCACCAAGAGCTGTGTGATCTTGGTTGGCCAAGTTCTCTCTCCTCCTGGGCTTAATTTTCCCATCAGGCACAATGAAGATGACAATACATATCTCACAGCATGGATACAGGTACCAGGTTAGAAAGTATATGTAATGTCTTTTAGGGATACTGCTGGCCATCCAGTCAGGTCCAGTTCACAGTACCAAGTATTCCACAGCTATAAGATAGGGAGGATGAGCTGATTGTTGAGCACACAGATATTTCCGAAAGATTTCATAAATATGTTAAAACCAACTCTTGGGTGGAAAGCAGCAAATTTTATATGTTTCCAAAAATATTTTAATATACTGATAAACACAAAAATCACTAACCCTCAGGAAGGCAGGTAAAAAACACAAAGCATTTACTATGCATTTACTGCATGCAAGAAGTGAACTATGTGCTTTATATAGGTTCTCTCATTTAAATCACATAACCCTAGTGCAGGAAACACCATCCTCCATTTACAGATGAGGAAACAGTTAAAAAAACAAAAACATGTTTGAGGTCATTAATAGTGGGAAAGAAAGAACTTGAGTTTGCTTCATACATCTCTAAATCCCACAAGTTCTCCGTACTTCTGTATTGCAATGTATCTGTTTGAAAGTCTTCTCTCCTGAGAAGGCAAGATCCTAGAGGCAGGAATCCTGTTCATCATTTAAACTAGCTGCCCAGCATAGTGCCTACCATATGGAGAAACTCATGAATGAAACAAATTAAAGGGTCCAGTGCTTAATCCCGTAGATTAACTTTGGAGATGACTAACATGTTGATTTTCTAAATTAGCAAGAGGTACAATTTTCAGGACTAAGAAGGCCCACCGTTTCTGCAAGAAGGGATGCATGAAATTAAACTCTCGCCAAAATGATTAAGAAGTTGAAGAAAATAAAGACACTGCAGGCAGAGCAGAATCGGGACCAAAAATAAATTAGATTCTTTCCACTGATTTAATTTGATCCAAGTACAGGCTGTTTTTCATTTCCCAGCACACATGCCTATACTGCTTTTGGGAATTCTACACCTCAGACTACTAGTTACGGTAATGACAAAAAATTACATAAACCTTTGGGGGTGTTTGTTGTTCTTGTTTAATCAGAAACAATTCACATATCTGATACCAGTGTCTAAAATCATGATAAACAAAAGAAAAAAAGTAAAGCTAAAATTAGCTGTATTTCATCCGTCCATAACCAAGTTTACTCTTTTCATCCTTCCACTCAGTACCTATAGATGTTGTTCTCCTCACAGCAATTATGTCAAAACCATACTATGGATAGGGCACAGCGGTTTAGCGCCGCCTGCAGCCCAGGGTGTGATCCTGGAGACCCTGGATCGAGTCCCACGTCAGGCTCTCTGCATGGAGCCTGCTTCTCCCTCTGCCTGTGTCTCTACCTCTCTCTCTCTCTCTCTCTCTCTCTCTCTCTCTCTCTCTGTGTGTGTGTGTGTGTGTGTGTGTCTCTATGAATAAAATCTTTTTTGAATAAATCTTAAAAAAAGATAAAGTGCCCACATGAATCAAAGTATCACACAAGCCTAACAGACACCACTCTAGCCCCCTACAAACAGAGGAATAACACATTTCACCTAAAAAAAAAAAAAAAAAAAAACATACCATGTTATTTAACCGTATGGGAGTTGGTGGAGCCAATTCCGTACAAAAGTGTCTTTTAAAGCAAAGCTAATGACAGAGCTCAAATAAGAAAACACATCATTAGGCTCTAATGGTGTGACCATGTCCAAGACTGTTTACAAGAGGGGCAGTGTTAGAAATAAGCGAGAAATCAAGAAGGCAAAAATAAAAGTAATAACCTCAAGTGGGCAAAATCCACAAGTGCAGAGGGCAGCAGGCACCAGGCAAGTAAGTCCCTTTGAAGCCTGCCTTCCTGCCACCTTTACTTCAGTCACTCAGTCCACGCCCAGCGCCTAGGGAATGCCAGACAGCACGGGGCGTGTGGGGGCGGAAACAAATGGGAACCGAATGAAGAATTCGGCCAGTGACTTCCCCGGGGGGAGAGGGGGGAGCAATCAAGGTGGTCAGCGCCGTCAGCGCCACTGCAGGGCAGGAAATCACTGTTCTCACCGCTTCTGCGCCTGCGCGCCTGGTGGCTCAGGCCGCCGCCGCCGCCGCCGCCGCCGCCGCGGGGTCCTGATATCGGGCCCCGCATCGGGTGCCCCGCAGGGGAGCCTACTTCTCCCTCTGCCTGTGTCTCCGCCTGTCTCTCGGGAATACAATTAAAAAACAAAACAAAACAAAACAACGGTTCTGTGTTTTATAACACGAGCCCAAAGCTTGGCAAAACATTAAGGACCCTATTTCGAGAATCAAAGAACCGAGTCATCCAGGCCTCCCGGGCGCCACCGCGAGGTGCAGGGCGAGCCCCCCCTCCCCCCCCCCGCCTCGGGCACAGGTGCACGGCGGCGGGGACCGCTCGGAGCGAGGGCGGGGCGGGGCGGGGGCGGGACCCGGCGGGACCCTCCCCTCCCCTCCCTCCCCCCCCCCCCCCCGGCCGGACGCGCCGCCTCCAACCGGAGGAACTGACGCGGGGAGCGCAGCAGCGGCGCCGAGGAGACGGGTCCCGGACGCAGCTCGGGCCGCACCCCCGCAGGCCGCCCGCCCCCGCCCAGCCCCCGCAGGAGCCGCTGACCCGCAGGGCCGCCGAGAGCGCGCCCGGGCCCCTGCGTGCGAGGTGGTTCGCTGCCCGGCCCCTCCCACACCAAACCACCCGCCCGACCCCGCCGGCCACGCGGGAGCCCCTCCCGGTGCGCACCGCTCACCCGGCGCTCGCCGAACAGGTCCAGGCGGCGGCCCTGGGGCTTGACGTTGAAGGCGGCGCCCACCGGGCACCAGCTGGTGCTGACCTCTCGGGCCCGGCGCCCCCGCCACACAGCCGCCGCCGGGGGCCCGAGCCCTCGCAGCCTCCGCGCGCACAGCATCCTGACCCCGGCGCAGCCCCCTCCCCGCCGCAGGCCCCGCCGCAGGCCCCGCCCCTGAGCCTCAGCTCCCGCCGCGAGCGCGCGCGCCGCGTTTCCAGGGCAGCGGCCCACGCGGCGCCCCGGACGCCGGCGCTTCCGGTCGGGGCTCGCGGTCCCGCGGGGCGTGAGCGCGTCGGCGTCCAGAGGGCAAGAGCGTGGCCCCGCCGCCCGGACGCCGAGCGCCGCGGTCTTGCGCCCCCGCGCGCCCGGAGTGAGGAACGGCCGAGGTCGCCCCTGCGCCCCCGTGACCGGAGCGGCCGGGCCGCCTGGCTGCAGGTGAGCTCCTCCGGGCGCCCCCGCGGCTCCGTGAACTGCCCCGAGCGCCTGCCGCCCGCCGGCACGGGCGACGCTCCTCCTCTGCAGGGGTCCTGCGCTGTGCGGGTGTGCGGCGCCCCCTGGCTTACCCGCCCCTGAGCCTCCCCGGGCTCCGCCTTGTACATGTTTTTCTTTTTGGTTTAAAGATGTATTTGTTTTTATTGATGAGAGACAGAGAGAGGCAGAGACACAGGCGGAGGGAGAAGCAGGCCCCGTGCAGGGAGCCCGACGTGGGACTCGATCCGGGGCTCCAGGATCGCGCCCGGGGCTGAAGGCAGGCGCCAAACCGCTGCGCCACCCAGGGATCCCTGCCTTGTACAATTTGTGATGATAATCGACAGTATACATTTGCAGAGGGAGGATTGCACCAAACTTCACTCAACCACGAGGGAGTGAGAGGGTTTGGGGGCAGGGGGTGCCTGGGTGGCTCAGTGGTTGAGCGTCTGTCTTCAGCTCAGGTCGTGACCCCAGAGTCCCGGGATCGAGTCCCACATCAGCCTCCCGCAGGGAGTCCTCTCCTCCCTCTGCCTAAGTCTCTCTCTCTCTCTCTCTCTCTCTCTCTCTCTCTGTCTCTGTCTCTCATGAATAAATAAATAGAATCTTAAAAAAAAAATTGGGGGTCAGGAGGCAAAGAGGAAATTGTGATTTGGGGCTTCAGATGGCGAGTGTGGAAAAGGGTGGGGCCTCTAAACAGCCTGGGCTCCCCCTAGATGAACGGGAAGCAGCCACAGCTGGAGTGGGGTAGGGGGTGGTGTTCTCCTCGGCGAGGGAGGCTCAGCCTTGCTCCGCTTCAGCCTCCTCCTGTGCAGAGCGGGAATCTTGCAAGGTGCCTGCTCCTTTACCTCCCTGGAGTGCATGCGGGTTAAGTGAAAGGGTTTGGTCACAGTAAGGTGTTTCTTTTGAGAGGTTCTGTAGGTGGAGAGGGAAGAAAATCAATAGTTGGAGAAGGGACAGAGGGGACATGAGGCTGCCACAGTGACCCTCACATTTTGCCTGGCGCTCTCATTCCACGCACCTGCGGCTTCTTAGTCTGTCTCTTAGGGTGAACAGGGTGCTGCTGAATGGCAAACCCATATGGGATGGGCCCCTTGAGAATTGACCCTTCTGCAGAAGAGAAGCCAGGTGTGTGGGTTCTGAGAAGACCACCGCCCACACACACATAACACACATACACTAAGGAAGTAAGCAAGAGGGAGGGCTGGCTACTGGTCCTCCAAATACTGTTCTCCACCTCAGTTTTCGTTTTGTTCTTATAAAGCAGGTTCCACATCCGCAGTGGAGCCCAATGCAGGTCCCAACTCACAACCCTGAGATCAAGACCCGAGCTGAGATCAAGAGTCCCATGCTTAACCTGCTGAGCCACCCAGCTGCCCTTCTCTACCTCGGTTTTGTGCAGGAACTATAGACCAAGTGATTCTGTTAAACCAGTATGAGTGCAGAGGGTATTGATGGCTGTGGTCTTCTGTGACCACAGAAGGTTGGTTCCTTTGCCTTGGGTGCCAGAAGTGTGACTTGTGCAGAGGAGCCAATAACCCAAGTGAACATTTTTGTTCCCAGGCAACGCATAGTCACGTTTTCTTAAATTCCTTTTTTAAGTCATTCCAGAGCTTTATCTCACCAGAGTATTTGGGCTTAGAGTAAATCTATGTTCATTTTAACATTGCCTGTTGGGTTTGAGGGGTCCTAAGAACCTTCTGGAAAGTTCCAGAGAGTCAGAAGTTAAAGCCGGGAGTGGTACAGGCTTTCTATAGATAGCTTCTAATCCCGCCTCCCTCCTTCCATTCCACCCTCCACACACACAGCAAAAAAAGTTTGTTTTCAATATAGCCTGGAAGGGAGAAAAAAACCTAATTGATTGTATGATAAGTTGTGATTTCATTTTATACTGAATTTAGTGATTCATCGGTTGCACATAACACCCAGTGCTCGTTACATCATCACATGCCCTCAATGCCCATCACCTAGTTACCCCATCCCTCCATCCTCCTCCCCTTCAGCAACCTTCAGTTTGTTTCCTATGTCTACTAATTTTTGTATGTTTGTCTTTAAAGATTTTATTTATTTGCCAGAGAGACAGAGCCAGGGAGCACAAGAAAGGCAAATGGCACAGGGAGAGGAAGAAGCAGGCTCCCCACTGAGCAGAGAGCCCAATGTCTGGGTACGGGGCTCGATCCCAGGACCCTGGGATCATGACCTGAGTTGAAAGTAGATGCTTAACTGACTGTGCCACCCAGGTGCCCCTCTACTGATTCTTTAATCAAAGATTTAAAATGATTTAAAATCCCCAAATCCCCACTTCCATGGTAATGTCATATTCTTGGTCACTGGCTGGGTCTTAGGGCAGCTGTCCCACATGATAGACCTAATGCCTGTATAGCAGACTCTTACAAAGATGTCAGATGTGACATGTAAAAAAGAAAATTCATCAAAATATTTGACAAAAATGCTTACTTTGTCATATTTTCTTAAAAGATGTTTCAAATCTGGGAGCCTTCCTTTAGCCCAAAATGGTTGTCATACAAGGATACCTAACCATTGTAATGCAACATTTAAGCCTAAAAGTGTCCTCAGGGGTTGATGACTTATCCTAAATTAACAAGGTTTCTGGTGTTTCAGAGAGATTTGGCATAGTTAGACTTTTAAAAACTGCAGTCCACAAACAAAGGGTTGCAGAAGGGGGAATGGGGTAACTGGGTGTTGGACACTAAGGAGATGAGCATTGGGTGTTATACTATATGTTGGCAAATTGAATTTAAATAAAATATATTAAAAATAAATAAAAATAAAATCTGCAATCTAGGTTCGTAGACAACCAATGAACAGTCCCCCCAAATGGCAGATTAGACACGCTCCACCCCTGCCAGTCAACTTCATCTTCTTGAAATCCTTTAAGATATGTTTTATATCTCATCTTCTATATTTGGCCTAAAAAGATAATTTCATAAAAGCTTCTATCCTATGTAGGGTCATAAATGTGTTTTTTCTTTAAGTCTATCTCAACCTATAAAGTTGTGTTCCTAAGTAGAAAGGAGTTTGTACTGTTCAGTCCATAACAAAACCAGGCTTTACACTGGGGAGAAATAGCTTAGATTATTACAATTTGAGAAAGCCACAGAAGCCAAAAAATGAGGCCACTGTGGCTCAATAAATAAAGTGATCAGTCACACTACAGCTGAGCGGAAGTAGGGCAGCAAGGGAGACATAAGGGTTGGGATGTAAAATTGAAGGAGACCCTCAGTGTCGGGGTCATGTGCCTGCAATGTCAGCACCTGGAAGGGAGCCTCTCCTTCTCTGCTGCACCCTGGGGGCCTCACTTGCTTCACCCCAGTCCTGGCTCTGTTCTAGAAGAAACAAACTAAGGAAGGCCATTAAAATGCTTACAAGCAAAGTATTTCTGTACATTTCCAGAATTTTCCATAACCATTGAGTAATTTTTCAATATTTCACTTACAGCAGTGCTGCTCATAATGATAATTCAGAAAAATCCCATTTTTCCCAGGGAACAAAGATATCATCATGTCAGTGTTGACTCCGTTGGAGTACGGAGAGAATGGCTCTAAGTCCCAATTTCTAGAGGCACCCCTGTCGGGCAAACTGGCCCAGACTGTGATTTGAAAAATAGCGTAGCTTGAATATGCATTGAGCTTGCATCCTTCTGCTTCTTTATTAGTTGCTTTTAACTCATAGAAAAGTATATTGAGTTAACTTAGGCATCTGTGATACTTCCAGAATTTTAGAGGTGTGGGACCATATGAAGTTATTCCGTTCCAGCACTACTGTATGATAGACTAGAGCACAGAAAAGCTAAATAACGTATCCACTTCAAATTCTTTTGTCATGGCTGGAACCACAACCCATACATCTCTACTCTTAGTCTTGGGCATTTTCCACTACAATCGTGCTTTCCCTCTCCTTGGGCCTTAGACTACTTAATATTCTTTTAGACAAGAGCAGTAGTAACAATGACAATAACAACAAAAACCCTGCATCATTCTGGCTCAAGTGACACAATAGTTCAGGGATATCTCTAGTATCTCTGTCTTCAGGAACAGCTGGAGTTAGG